CTAAATAAAAAATTAAATATTAAATTATGGAAAAATATTTAGTTTGGAAAATAAATGGCTTGAGAATGAACAAATATGCATGTATGTAGGTATATAAAGCATCAAGCATGTTTGGAATGGTGAATTTATAGAAGTATAATTTGAGGAGTAAGCTTTGAATATGCCGAAGACAAAAATAAGCAATTTGAGGGAGTTATTTGAATATAAGCTGGGAAATGGGTCAAGGTAGATAAAAACTTAAACTATGGAAAGTTCTATTAAAAGCTTAGAATTAAAGGTACGATAAAGATATCAAAGGAGCCGAAGTAGTAAAACGAAAAAAATATGTTTTGAGGAAATACATAATTGAAGTTTATGATGGGAAATATATTTTTAAACGTAGACTCAGAAATAAATGGTTAAAACGTTGGAAAATTTAAATAATTTACTTAAAATATTAAAAGAAAATTATGTAAAAAATAAATAAATTTAGGTAATGTAACGATGAAAATAAATTTATTTCTTTTTAGTAAAGATGATTCTCATGTAAAATTGTTTTTAGTGGGCTAGTATTTATTTTGTTTTTGTTAGTAAACAACATGTTTTCCTTCTGAGAGCAATTGGACAAATATTTTTTTATTTAGGAAATTATTTGTGGAGAATATTACATATTACTATTAATTATAATTATTAATTTTTAATAAAAAAATAAAATCAGATTTTGTAAAATTGAAAGAAAAAATATATATTTAAATTAATAAAATCCGAATTATAATATAATTCGGATTTTAAAAAATCAGAAATAGAATGTATTAAACAGTCACAATTATTAAATATTCGGAAAGTAAAATCAGAATTCTATTGTCTATGTGAAAAAATTTTTATAGAATTAAAAAAATATTTAAATAAAATAATTAAAATATAATCGGAAATTATATTTTAAAATTTATATATTTAATAAACAAAATTATTTTCTGAAAGTAAATAAATGAAGTGTTTTATTATTTATTTTTCTATAAATTTTTATCGTCGCTTTCTTTATAATTTTACCAAAAAAATTATTATTCTATTTTATAAAGGAAACCTAAAACCTTCCTTATTTCATCACAGCTGTTTTCTTTCAAATAAAATTTTTATTTACCAAGTCTATATATTTTTAGATGTTTTTTTCAAAAAAATTTTTATTGTTAATATTTTTAATAAAAGCAGATTTATTTCCTTGTTTATCTATCTAAAAGAATGAAAAAGAATATGAGAGATAATAAAATATAGACGTTTTTTGGCAATTATTGGGTTTTTATCTAATTATTTTGATGAGTTGTTTTATTTAACTAATGTAAGAAGAAAATGGAAATAAAAATATAAAAAAAAAAGAATTTAAGAAAATTTCAAAAAAATTCAACAAATTAATTAAAATTTTGAACAAATAACAAAAAGAATAGCCTAAATAATTATAACACCATTGTAGAGGCATAGTGGTGTCGGTAAATTTAAGTCAACAATTCACGGCCTAATGAAAACAAATAAAAAATGACTTATACAGCAGATTCCTGCCATCTCGATGTACATATGTCAAAATATGGGGGTTAAAGTTGATTTTCGATTTGGCAAATGTATTTTTTATTAATTTCTTATTGTGCTTTGTTCTATCACAAAAATTTTTTGTTTATTTTATTATTGTTTTTTTCTTCTAACTAAAGATTATTCGGCGGCTCAATAATGGGCAGCTGCACAATTTTTATCATTGCGGTTTTTTATTTCTAGTATTAAGCTGGTTTTCTCAAAAACGAGTAATTCGTTAAATTGCCTAAATGATTTTTTCTAAAATTTTTTAATTCTTTTATCTCAAGCTTAAATAATGAGGTAAAAAGTTCTGACCTGTGGCCAAGTTTTTGTTCAATTTTTACTTTATTTATATACGCTGAACGGAAAATTTCCAAATTGGAAATTTTAAATAAGGCAGTTTTATTTTCGGTTGCAAAAATTTTTACTATTAAAAAAATGTTTTTAATTTATAAAATTTTAGAAAATATTCTCGATTTGTTAATAATTAATAGAGAAAATGTTAATTTAAAAATAAAATTTCCTTTTCTTAAATTCAGAAAACAAACAATCTTTTTACTAGTTTTTGTTCGTTGGTTCCACTTTATTCACATATTTATTTTTATTTTTCGGTGACAACCACAAAAAAGCATTAGAGGGAAACATAAGTAATATATTAGCGAAAGAAAATTTAAAAATTTTAAATAATGAAAATGGAGATTAAAGTTTAGTTTCTCTGTTTATTTTTTTGTGGGCATATTTAAAATAATACGTTAGTAGTAGATTCCTGCCGTAACTACTAACGTATTTTTTAAAATATGCCCACAAAAAAACTGGGACTGAAATACTTGAGTCTGGGAATTCAGTCTGGGACTGAAATGTGCTGGGCACCGGAGACTGGGATAATGTAAAAATAATAAAAATTAAAAAATATATTAATTAAATAAAAAATAATAATAAATTGGGAGAAATAAAATAAAAAATTTTACAAAAAAAATCAAAATGATTTACAAAAACTGGCGGAAGTCAACTGTAAGGAGAATTAACCAATTATTTCGGAATACCAAATCTCAAAATGCCAAAACGACAAAATGCCAGCTCACAAAACGTCAGCTTTAAAACACTAATTGGCGGGAATTTTAAATTAGGTTGAAATTTATTAATCTGGGAATTACAGTCTTGCTCTGAAGTATTTAGAGCTGGAAATTTCAGTCTGGAGTTGAATTAATTTGGGACTGGGAATTTCAATCAAGGACTGAGCTATTTAGGGTTGGGAATTTCAGTCAAGAGCAGAAATCAGGTCCGGAATACATTAACAGAAAGTATATGGGTAAAATTCGAAAATTTAAATATAACAATAGTTTTTATTTTAGCAAATTTCGAAAATTAATTAAAATTATTTTTGATTATCAAAAAAACGTTATTTTCATAATATCGTTTTTTATTTCAATAATGTCAGCACCAGCTTCTAACAGTACACTGTTTATGAACTGCAAATTAGGCCCCTCTAGATTTGTTTGCCCAGCCGAGACATCCAAAGCTGCCGATAATTTATAATCAAGGCGAAACAATGTTGTAAAAAGCTAATTTAAAGTTTAATGAAATTATTTAATAAATTAAGTTAGATTATTTAATAAATTAGATTAAATTAGATATGACGTTTAACACTTATAAGGAAAAGGTATATAACTTTAAGTTTGGTAAAACAATATAATGACTGGTTATGATAATATAAGCCTGAATGAACACCGGTCTAGCTAGTTAATACAACACGCTAATACTAACATCTGCTTTCAATTCCCTTCCCTATCTTGTTACATTATACTTTGGATAACAAGATATTCTTGTAATATTCAACTTGATAATTTAGTTTAGAGTGCATTGAGTAATATATTAATGATATTTAATTACCTGGTCCTTAAAATCGCAATCTAAACACTTGTTTTCAAACATTTAGTAGAAAATTCGGACATTTTTAACAATTAAGGCAATTTAATTTGTAATTTTATACCTTAATTTAATTAAATTTGAATTAGAAAATGAGTTAAATGACGATAGAATATCCCTTTTCTCAAAAATCCGGATAAAAATTATAAAAAATATGAATCTTATAAAACGAATATCAGGATGTAAAAGAATATCGATCAAAAGAAGATCGCAATCGAAAAGTAGATTAAAAAAAGTAAAAGAAGATCGAAAAGTAGATAATAATACGAATTACGGCGTTTTTTGGGTTAAATTACAATTACGAAAGAATTTTCGATTACGACGCAACTCTTCATAGATTGTATAGCATAAACAAACTCCAATAGATAACTTTTGTGTTTGGAAGAAGCTCCAAATCAAAGCAACAAATGTCTCTACTTAGTGAAAATAAAAATGACTATACAAATCAGAAAGCTCGTCGACTTTAACGAAATAATAAAGTTAAACAAAATCGGAAGTCACAATTTTCGAAATAGGGAAAGTATTTTCTATTATTTACTTTATCCTAACATTGATATACTATGCGTAAAATTATATGATTTTTGAAATCGATTTAATCATGTTGATAGTGCGGCAAATAAATTTTTATTTATTAATTTTTGTGCTTTGTTTTAGTACCAAAAACGCTATATGTATTTATTATCTATCTGAATAAGGATTACCCATCAAATTGGGCGGCTCGACAAAGGACAGCTGCAAAATTTTTATTATTGCGGCTTTTCTCTTTTTCATTAAGGCTTATGTATTTACCAAAAACGAGTAATTTATTTAATAAAAACAATTTATTTTTTCTAAAAATATTTTAGCATTAAAAAAATTTTATAAAATTTTTAGAAAATATATTCGATTTATTGATAATTGATAGAGAAAATGCTAAATTCAAAATAAAATTTCCTCTTTCTAAATTTAAAAACGAATAATGTTTATTACTAGTTTTTGTTCGTTTCTTCGTCTCTATTTAATTTTTCTATTTATTTTTATTTTTCATATGACAAGTGCAAAAAATTTATTATCAAAGAGAGGGAAAAATAATTTATTAACGAAGGAAAATTTAAAAATTTTAAATAATCAAAAGGAAGATCAAAATTTAATTTCTGTATGTTTTTTTGATTTTTTGGGCAAAGTAAAGATATTACGTTAATTCTCCAAAATTTTGCGTGATAAGGGATTCAATTGTTTATCAATGATGGGCATTGAACGTTTTGTGACCCCGGTCCCGACCTTTTCCAAATCTAAAACTCTGACCTAGAGCTCCTTTATCTGTAACTCTACATCGAAGAGTTACAGATAAAACGGCAATTACAAGTAAAGAGCCTATACAGCTGTCTAGTTAACTATTTAACTCATGAAGAGTTAAATCTTTTAGAAGACTTTAGGATATTTTAATTAGACCGGTTTTGATTTTACTTCTAATTAGAATTGTGTGAAAATTTATTAAGACAAAAAAATTTGAATTTAAAATTTAAAAGAGTTCCCATTTTACTAGGTCAAAAGAATTCCTTATGATGAAGTTTTTGTTCAATCCAAAATTTTTCGTATGGCTGCAGCAGCCTATGGATCCTTTGACAATTTTGCTACATGTCTACAAACATTAACTGGAAGTTATAGTGTAAATTGAATAAATTTTTGATTTAGAACGAAATTTTTTAAAATTCTCTCAGGTATTTTTTAACATCCAAATACCTTGTCTAACCAATGAAAATTGTACTGGCTTTATGGCTTTGTCTTTGGAGGATAAGGCATTGATTCTATCTTTTGGGTATATGCTATATTTAATTTTAAAAATAAAAAATTACTTAGAACCTCACAATATGCATATAAACAATTATTAAACGATTCTGGAGAATACATTTTTAATGAAAGGCGAAGATCTCCATTAGGTTTTGGAAGCGGAATGGTGAATCTTTTTAAATAAATTTATATACTGATAATAGAGAACCAACTTGAGGTTCAGGAAATCTTTAATAGTTATCGCCAAAATCTCGATAATAACAATCAAGATTTTTGAGAGAAATCCTGTCTCGGATCAATCCCTGCTTTATTAGCTTAACAAAATATTGCTTCTATTAAATTTTTCATGAGCTTATCAAATGCAACTTGCTGGAAATCTTTTTAAATTTTTATATTTTTTATATCTTTCTTTTGACATAATATAAAATGAAAACCTAAATGATTTGGACTTCCCCTCCAATGCACCTCTTTTCCATTAAACTCTTGCTTAATCTCTCAATACTAGAGGGAATTCTTTGAGAATTATAAAAATCAAGAACCAATTAGATTTGCATTTCTTTGCGCATTTATCCTTCTAAATCCTCATTAAGTAATCTATTTAATTATTTTATCAGTATTGCTTCTGTCTTATATCAAATTCCATTAAAAAAATTTTTTTTAATGAACTATTAATTTTATCAAAAAGTTGACAGGTTTCTGACAATCTTTTTTCAATATTTTATCAAATGCAACTTGCTGGAATAACGCAAAAAACTTTTGAAATGATTCAATTTTTTGATGGTTATGATCTTTGGGTGAATTTAAAAAATATTAAATTTAAAAATAATTTTTTGTAAAGATAACTGGCCATTCAATAGGTGGAGCTATAGCCTCGATTGCTGCCGCTAAAATAGCTAGTGCTAATGTAATTGATGCAAAACAAATTAAATTGGTTACTTTTGGACAGCCTAGAGTGGGAAATAAAGCTTGGGCAGCGGCTATGGAAAATGCTGTTGGAAATTTTTGAAATTTAATTAAAAAGGGGTTTTTTAGAATTAGATAAAATATAGCTTGAAATATATTTTTTTAAGATCTGGTTTGCGTTAGTCCCCAGTCCTTCGGAGAGAATTTATTTCCCAAAAAATTTTTACTCCGACATTTATTTTTTGGAAAGGGATTTCAAAGAAGATTATGTCGGGGGTCGAGGTAGAGGAATGGTCTAAAAATCATTGTCGGGCGTGGACAGAGTATAGGTGGTTTGGGAGGTGTCCAATCAGTAATTCTTGTTCAAGACATTATATGATACAATTTTTCAAAACCTAGGGGATATTTTTAGTAAGGTCCAGCTGTTTTTAGATTTAAAATTTTTAATTTAAATATTGAATTAAAAATATTTTTTTATTTGCCCTACTACACTTATCGAGTTGTTAATGAAAAGGATATTATTGCCGATTTACCTCATCATTCATTTCTTTATTACACACATTTTAGAATGGAGGTAATTAATTAATATTATTTAAAAATTTTTTGTGAGTATTAACGTCATTATTTGTTTAAATTACGAGTTTACTTTTCCTTATTCTTGGAACACAGCAGGGTTTTCCCCGAAAGTTGGGGAATTTGAGGAAATAAGTATAATAAACGAAAAGGAAAAAACAACCGGACAGTGTGGCAACAAGAAAGAAGTTTATAATATTTTCCTCAAACTTAAAACTATTTAAAAAAAATGTTCAAAAAAATTTTAAAATCATTTAAAAGATATTATACTTTGCAAATAATTCAACTACAAATTCTTCTTCTTTTCCACTAGAGAATTATAAAGTTTGCACTTCAGGGGAAGACAAACATTGTATAAATTCTACCAAGTAATTTAACAGTTTTTTATATATTAATCTAACAAAATCAAAGCAATTTTAATATTAATGACCATATTAATTATTATGGCAAAAATGTTGCTGAATATGGAAGGAATGGATGTCATAAATAATAAGAAATTGGGAAAAAGATTTTATTTATATTAAAAATATATGATATGTATAATAATTTCAACAAATTGTGTTTTTCGAGGGACAATGTTTTGCTTTATCTCATTTCAAACATTATGCCGTTTGTCTTGATTCGTTGGCAAAAAGATGTAAATTTTTTCCGTTTTGCTTAAAAATTGGATGTGGATTGTAGTGGATTTTTCTTTAACCTTTTGTCCGACAAAAAAAATTTTTTTATTAAAAGTCTATAATTTTGTCGCGACAAGAAGGTGAATACTTTAGAATAATATTAATTATTATAAAATTTTAAAAGTATATGTTAAATAGTTATATATCAAATTAAAGAGGACAAAATAAGCTACAAAATAAGCTCAATATTATACTTATAGGAAAATTTTTAAAAAATCTATAAAAATTTAAACAAGACGAAGCAAAGAGTCTTTAGAATTGTGTCCACTATTGTATGACTTTTGCATAGGTCCACTACTGTATGACTTCTTCCTTAACTATATGTACTTCTAATTTTCCCATTAATACTACTTCGTACTTGACCTAAACCTCGTACTCCCCTAAATTTTGACTCGTACTCGTACTTTTTGCCAACCTTATTTTTCTGCTCGTATTCGTACCAAAGTATGAGTACGAATCTTGATACGGGCGTATAAGCTCCGATCGTAATCCAATAAATTCACATGAAAAATATATTAAAACGAATTAAAGCCAAAATTTCGAAATTAATTATCAGTGCTGAATAAATAAAACATGCCGAAATTAAAAATCGAAAAATTTTCAAAAAGTAATATATTTATTTAAGAAGTAATTTTCAATTAATTAATTAACTCAAATGTTAGACTTAATAGATAGTATTCAGTAGAAAAAGTCGTGAAAAATATGTATTCATTAACTTTTACGAAGCACAGAAGTAAAATTAATATTTTAAAAATTAATTGGCCAGATGTTAGTTTCATTATAAAGTTGCACTTTTTGTTTATTTATTATTTAATTTTTAATAATTATAAATTATATATATATAATTTATTATTTAAAAAATATAAGTATTAATTTACATTTAAAATTGTCGGTTAATTAAATTTCTTAGAATTATTTCTTTATTTTAATGTAAAACACAACAATTAACCTTATTTTTTAATTTAATTTTAGACAGGTGAATTATTTCTAATTATTCAACGACACATTTTATTAGTGTTAAGAGTTTTTTGTTTATATTATATAATGTTGAGCAGTATCGTAATTTTAAAGTTATTAACAGATCCAATTAAGAGATATAGAGGAACTAATCCTAGTTCAACATAAGGAAAAAATGGAATTATATTTATTTTATCAAAATGAATACGAGCGTCTTTATAATTGTAATATTTATAATATTGACCAAATTCCCCTGGAAAAACGTCAACATAAAATACTTGGAATTTTCTTTATTATTTTGTCTACAATTTATGTAGTAAGTAAATATAACATGAAGAAATAATTGTAGGAATAAATTTAAGGAATAGATCACAATAAATTTTATATAAAATTATGGAAACACAAGTCTATTTTTTTCTATTTAGCTCAGAAAAGTTTAATAAGATAAAGTCTGGAACTACTTAGTCGAAAATTTCTGTTTTGAAGAGCAAATGAAACCAGAACTTGTCTAGGCCCACTGAGTTTTAACCGTATTTCAACTAGAGTGTGTCAGAATAAATTGAAGTCCAATTGTTTATTATTAAATAGATACTCTATATTCCTTGTATGTATTCGATTTGGAAGCGAATGGCAAACAGTAATTGTTATAAAATTATGTTTGTTATGGGGGTCGTTGATATGGCAGCAGTTTTATGTGCTGGATATTTAACTGGATATTTGGGATATTTTGGATATGTTTTTTGTTCTTCCCCAAAATTTATTTATTTTGCTGGAGTATTTGGAAACTGTTTGTGCTTTTTAATAATTAATAATTTATGTATTTATTAGTCTGCTGGGCTGCTGAATCTATAATAGAGGGGATTTTAGCTATTAATCGTTGCGTTGAAATCTGGTCTTCTGAATATGCTAAGAAATTTTTTGGCGGTTGGAATTAATCCATCTTTAGCCGTAACTTTAGCTTTATTTTTTTAAAAGGCAAAAAACTGTTTATTTGGCTGGGCATTCCCTTTCTTTACGGCTTAGCAGTATGTGTATGGGCAAAGCCAATTATATTCAGTGGCATTTACTTTAGCTGGTTCTTCAATCCGCATATTGGATATATTGATGACGTTAATCAAGTATTGGTTTCTTAATATCTTTAAAATATTTGATCTTCTAAAAGGAATATGAGAACACTCTTCAGCCATTCCACAATTTATCAGTCATATTTTTTCTGTTAATTACTTACATAACATTCTTTATAATTTTTTTGATAAAATCCAAACAAGGAGGTTTTCAATCACATCAACAAAGCTATTCTGAAAAAATGGTTTTTTACTTAAAATATTGATCTAAACCCTAAATTTTTAGATTTTTCTTCAAGTTTATTTGATTAGCTTGTTTAATAGTGTCGCTGCTTCGATATATGCTTTTATGCAATACACCCGTGTGAACTACGTAATTATTATAATTGGTCAGATTTGTTGGTTGAATGCACACGGTGACAAACATTAATATTAATTTTGTAAATTTAAATGATCAAAAAATGATCCTGGGTCCTCTCAATTGCCATATCACAGCCTATATAAAAAATATTCTTTCGAATTAAAGTTATTATAATTTTTTCATTTTAATTATTAACATAAAATTAAAGTAAAAATGCCAACTCCATAATCTAAAAATTACTATTTAGGAATACCTCCTGTCATTTATTTAACAATGAACAAGTCGATTCAACGCGATTGGCTTGGAATATTAAAAAAGTTTGGCAATACTATTTTAAAATTTTACAAAAATCTACACTCAAATTCTATCCAACCTATTATTCCTCAAATAAATCCTCCAAGGGAAGATAATCAAGTAAATGTACAAATTCAACTAAACAATCAAAATTGAATTTTTAAACTCTTTATTGTAATAGTATAAATATTATTCCTTTTACCTCAAAAATATATAACTTTAACTCAAATTTACATAGTCCAATCAAGATCTATTCAGTAAAATATAAAAAATTTTTAATTAAAATTTATATTAATTTATAAATTACTTCTATGCATAATATGTATTACTTTAGTTAGATAGATTAATATATGGGATTTTTTGGTTTTGCAGAAACCTAATATGGAAACCTTTTGAAAAATATATGTATTCCCTGATTTTTATAGAAGCCCACCTCTAATAATACAAGCCCATCTAAAATCTGTTCTCGAAATTTTGATAGAATTTTCTAAATTAATGCAAAACTTGTTTTATCCTGATTTTCTATAGGTGATTTAGAATCATTGCAAATATCACTCATAATCACCTGATATCCCTTAAATCCACCGATTAATAAATTGCCAACGACCACTTCGAATCCATCGATATCCTATTCATTTCTCCTAAAACTTACATGAGAAAAAACCTTTTTTATAGTTTATCGGAATTTCTTAAAAAATAAAATATTAGTTTATCTAAATTTTAAGAATGTCATTGAAGTGCATTTACTAACTAATTGTCGTAGCTCAATGATCCATTAGGATGTCGCGCTTTTCTTTCATTATCTATTTTTCAAATATTTATTTTAAATATTTTCTTTTCCTATAGCCAAGGGTGTAGAGAGGTAAAGAATATTGACGCTAAATTACAATTTCAAAATATAGCATTTAATTGGTAAAATAATTTTTGTCTCACAATTTTGTCCAAAAAATTTTGTATAAAATAGAGAGAATCTGTCAACTAAAAATTAAAACAAAATTTTTCAAATGTTTTTTGTTAAATTTTTATTAATTTTTAAAATATTATTTTTAATATTTTTTGATTTTTGTTTTTCTAATTATAAAAATAATCAACGAATTTTGGTTGAATCTACAAAAAATAATAAAAATGAGGATGAAAGTGTTAAAATAAATTTGTTGAGAATGAAAGTAAATAAAATTGAAGAAGAAGGCGGTGAGTAGTGACCGGTAAAATCAATTTTTCCGGAACCGGATTCCGGATTTGCAACTTGAGCCGGACCGGATCCGGCGGGATTTTTCCGGATAAATCCGGTCCGGTTTTAATCCGGTAAAAATAATTTCCGCGAGTCCGACAGAAATTATCCGGATTCCGGACCGGACTCCGGTTTTTTTCCGGATTTTTAAAAAAAAAATTTTTCAGTAATTTTTGTGTTAAAATGTTGTAATATGTGTGTCTTTTATGTCTTAAAATGTTGTTAGAGGGATATCTAAGGATTTTGGAGGCTATGAAGGATATTTTGTGGATTATTTTCCTCCAAGGAAGGAAAATAATCCACATGGATTATTATTTTCCTCCAATGGAATATTTCCTCCAAGGAATTCCTCCAAGGATCCTCTTAATCTCAAATCCCTTCCATGCGCCGCAGGTGAAAATGTTGAGAATTTTGTAAGTCCTTAAGTCAGATTTCCATTTTTTGCGTCGCAGGCAAAAATTTTGAAAATTTTTGAAAGCCATGAAGCCAGATTTCTTCCATTTTTCACCGCCGGAGGCGAAAATTTCGAGAATTTTGGAAGGCCTCAGGAGAAAAAAATTCTATTGTTAGAGCCGCAGGCAAAATTTTTTTTTGAAGTTTAGATGGTAATGAAGCTTAGACTCTCCATACCAATCCTAATTTCGGCCTAGTACTTAAACTGAGTTGAGGTATATACAAGGGGGACTCAGTCGTGCCTTTCGGGTGCGATTTTTGGAAGGCCAATAAAAAGAATGCATCCCTTTTCAGCGCCGCAGGCGAAAAGTTTTTGAATTTCAGTAAAGTTAGGGGTCAAAAATCCACCTTTTTTATAAAAAATACAAGAAAAATGGGAAAATTCCAGAACCGTATAAAATCCCAAATCCGGTGCTCAAAATTTGCCGGACCCGGATCCGGTTTCCGGATTTTCAACTAGAGCCGGACCGGATCCGGCCGGATTTCTCCGGATTAATCCGGTCCGGTTTTAATCCGGAAATTTCAAAAAAATCCGGATTTGGGACCCGGACTCCGGAAAAATCCGGCCGGATCCGGTCCGGCCCCGGTCACTAGCGGTGAGGTATCATTGAGTACCGCCGATTGAGTACCGCCGATTAAGTACCGCCGGTTGAGTCCCTGGCCGTTTGAGTACCGCCGATTGTTTACCGCCGGTTGAGTCCCCACCCATATGGGGACGTTTGAGTCCCCGTATTTTATTCTAGGATTTACACATTTATGATTCCCAGTACGGGTCTATTGCGGTGTCCGGAAAATTGGGCTCTGGAAAATTGGGCTCCAACTTTTCGGAAAATTGGGCTCCAGCGGAAATTTGGGCTCTACGTGAAAAAAACGGAAAATTGGGCTCCAATTTTTTAGGCGCGGGGAATTGTGGGCGTCAGAATGAATTTTTGGATTTATTCGAAAAATATCACAAAATTCTCTGGAATAACTATTTTTGTACTGTTACTTATGTTGTGTATGGGCGTCAGCCCTTAAAGTGTTAGTATAAAAGCCCAGCCAATAGTTAGTTCGTGGTCTCAGTTTTAGTTCTTCTTCCTACCCCAACCTTCGCCTGCTTTGTATTTCTTTGTGCAATAAACGTTTCTGTTAGCTTCCTCTACGTAACCGGGGTCGTAACAGATTTGGCGCGGTCGAGTTCAAAAGAACCAGTCGGCAGTTCGTCAACTTCAGTAAGCTGTGTGCAGTTCAGGAAAAGAAAAAGTGTGGACAAGTGCAGTGTTGTAAAACCGAAAAGGTTAGTGAAATTGTAGTGTTTAGTGAAAAGTGTAGTGATAAAGTTTATTTTTTAGTGAGTGCAAAATGGATGCAAAAACAGTGGAGAAATTGTTGAAGGCTCAGCAAGAGCATTTTGAGAAAATGTTAGTAACTCTTAAAGCCGAGTGAGTGGAACGACACCGAATTGTACAGCAAATTGGTTGGGATGATTGGTGAGTTCGTTTTTGATTTGTCGAGTGGTATGACCTTTGAGTCATGGTTGTGCAGGCATCGGTCCTATTTTGAGGTGGAGGGTAAAACCCTGCCAGAATCCTCTAAAGTGAGATTGTTGTTGAGTAAATTGGGGCCAGAAGAGTATGCCCAAATTGAAAGGAAGATGCTGCCAACCAAGTTGAGTGAGATGAAGTTTGACGAACTGTGTAGTGAGTTAGTGAAAGAGTTTAGCGACCATAGGTCCAAATTGTTGAAAAGGTTCGAGGCCTTAAATGTTAAGTGTAGTGACCTTCAAGATATTGTTGAGTTTGGGAATGTAGTGAATGCTCAATGTGAGCGTGCAGAAATGGCCTTGTCGATTGAAGAATTGAAAATTCTTATTTTTATTTCAGGTTTGCCTAGTGATGCTACCTCAGTTCGACAAGTCGCAATGAAAAGTGTTGAAAGTAAAAGTGAAAGAGGACAGGCAGTAACCTTGAAAGAAATTATTGAAGAGTGTCGGGCATATTTGGCAAATAAAAGTGAAGCCATGTATATTGTCAAGGAGAAAATTAGTGAAGTAAAAAAAGAAGTGCCGACAGTCAACACAGTGGAAAAAGTGAAATGTTGTGAAAAGAGTGAAAGTGAAATTGGAAGTGAGTACAAAAAACAGTGGTCCAAACCAAACGTCAAGTATCAACAAAATGTTATTGAGAAAAAGTGCAGTCATTGTGGACGTTTTGGTCACTGGCGTATGCATTGTAAGTTCTTGAAGAATAATCAGTATCAGCCAAAAAGGCAGTGGAGTAATGATAATAATCATTCAGGTTCTCCATATTGTGCAATTCTGGACATCTTCGATCCAATGCAAAGTGTGGAAAAAGAAGAGTGGATAAAGCAAAAAGTGAAGTTTGGAGAACTTAGTGTAGAAATGATTGTAGACACTGCATCGCAGATCAATGTTGTCACCAGTGAAGTGTGGAAAAGTATTGGACAGCCAACAATTGAAAAAGTGAATTACAGTGGTGTTGGGCTGGGTGACAACAAAGTTGAAATTGAAGGAAAATTCAGAAGCAAAGTGAGAGTGAAAGACAAAGACGTCTTTATGGAGTTTCATCTAGTGAATAGTGAAGTGTGTATCTTAGGGTTGCCTGGATTGAAAGAAGTGTCAAGTCGGAACCAAAAGCCCAAGTACCAAAAGTGGAGTAAAAAGAAGGCACCATTCAAGATACAGAAAAATGCTTTTCCGAACGGCACAAAAGTGAAAGTGAAGAATACCAATAAAAGAAGTGGTAAAATCGAGTGGCTTCATGGAGAAATAGTGAGAAAGACGGAAAATGCCTGGAAAATCAAAGTGGCAGTGTTGAAGTGTATTGTGACCAGGACATTTAAAGAGATCCGTCGAGATGAGTGGAGTAATAAAAAGAAGTTGTTGAATGAAGATATTCGGAATATGAATATTAGTGAAGAAAAAGTGTCGAGTGAAAGTAGTGTAACTTCTTCGAGTGCCAGCAGTGTGGACAGCTCAAAGATGATCAAATCAAAAATGAAGGACAACGTTGGGAACAAATCAAAGATGAAAGATGTCGAAGATGATAATAATATGGAGATGTAGATGAGCCACATATATAAAATTTTGTGATAATATTATTGTTGTATTTTTTTGTAATGTTGTATGTATTTTTTTGTTCCCATTGTCCTTATTCCCCCAAAATTATTGTATGTATTTTTTGTTTGTTGTTTGGCTGGAAAGTGTTAGTATATTGTAAAGCTTCGGCTTTAAGTGAAGCCGAACCTTTTTTCAAGGGGGGAGGTGTTGTGTATGGGCGTCAGCCCTTAAAGTGTTAGTATAAAAGCCCAGCCAATAGTTAGTTCGTGGTCTCAGTTTTAGTTCTTCTTCCTACCCCAACCTTCGCCTGCTTTGTATTTCTTTGTGCAATAAACGTTTCTGTTAGCTTCCTCTACGTAACCGGGGTCGTAACAACTTAGTAGGTAGGTCGGCATTTCAAAGCTGAAAATCAGTAAAAAGAAATAGGTTTATGTTACAGTTGTAGAACCCAGCGACCGTTGACTCCCGCGAGGCGCGTGCCGCAAAATCCCGCGCGAAGCGCGTGATTTTGCACAAGCGCCTCGCCGACGCCCATAGGTTTACGTTGTTTGATTTTATGTCATTTTTCGTTGAAATCCAAAAATTCACTCTGACGCCCACAATTCCCCGCGCCTAAAAAATTGGAGCCCAATTTTCCGTTTTTTTCACGTAGAGCCCAAATTTCCGCTGGAGCCCAATTTTCTGAAAAGTTGGAGCCCAATTTTCCGAAAAATCTTGGAGCCCAATTTTCCAGAGCCCAATTTTCCGGCACTCTCTATTGCGGATATGCTACTACTTTGGGGTACATTATAGACGAATATAATGAGGGACTATAGATTATATACCCAACGTGGGATATAATTATTACCCCAAAATAAAAGCACCAACTATACATATGTATGATTCCCATAATGGAAGTATTACGGGTATGTTACCAATCTGGAGGTGATACCCGGTAATTTGATAGGTACCTATAATCCCTCATTATATTCATATATAATATACCCCATAGTAGTACCATACCCGCAATAGTCCAGTCCTGGGAATCATAGATACTTGTATGCAAACCTTAAAATCAGTCTATATATCCCCTTTAATCATCCAAATCGCTCGAAATCCCTCCATATTTATCATATCACTCATGATCTCACCATTGCTCCTATATCACTCCAGATATCCCACTTAATCCCTTTAAATCCCAAAAACAAGTCGGGGACTCAAACGTCCCCATATGGGTGGGGACTCAACCGGCAGTACTCAACCGGCGGTACTCAAACGGCCAGGGACTCAACCGGCGGTACTCAAACGGCGGTACTCAATCGGCGGTACTCAATAGTCTCGTTCCCGAAGAAGGTGGACAAAATAAAATTGAAATTTAATCAAATCCCTCATAATCCTAGTAAAGCCTCTGAAATCTTCTATACTACTCCACTCAAGATGTTGTGTCCGCACTTACAGAAAGTACAGAATCTTGAAGATTTCTTGGAAAAATTCATTGGATGGGAGAGGGAATAGAACCATCACGGAAAGAGCCCAAACCGAAAGCACAACCGACTGTGCCACCATCCAACCCGATGATGGGTTATTTATTTTCATTTCTGTTCTTTCTGCAAGTGCGGACACAACACAAGCCCTTCTGAACCACTTGATTTCACACAGTCTTCACAGATGCTTCAATTTTCAGCGCCGCAGGCGAAAATTTTGATAATTTTGGGGACCGTGGAGCCAGATTTCCTCCTTTTTTAGCCATTTCATTTAAAATTCTAGAATTGTAAAAATTTGACAAAATGGTACAAATATGGCAAATGAAAAAATGTGGCGAAAAGGTCAAAATAGAGCACCCTATTAATCGGGCAAAAGGGTTATTCTGATAGTTCTTAACTTTCAAAAGCAACTTCGAATTCAAATACTTGTTTGATCCGATCTCTAGCTCTCAGTTGCCCGGTCTCAACTAATTGTTTTGCTTCATTTCATTTCTTAAAAAATAGGAGTTTCGTGAAGGCATTCGGGTATTGTGACTTATAGGGGGTTTTTTTTGGCTGGACCGATTTGGACAAATGAGGTGTCATTCGAAAGAGCTCGCCGAGCTGAGTCGAACTAGGGGCGAGTGGAGTCGATCCGGCAATCAGGGACCGAGATACAGACCCCTGAAGTTTGAAAAAGAGAAGGGGGGAGTAAGCTCATTTTGGGGTGAAAAATTCGAACATGCAAATAATAGCTTATTCGACTGAGCTCGTCGAGCTGAGTCGAATGACACCAAAATCACCGAGAACCGACTTGATTTGACAAAGTTATGAACGTTTGTTTTAGCTCCTTACCTATGGTCATTGTTGACGTTTTTGCTGCTACAGAGGCCCTAAATACGCCCAGAGCAAGGGAGATAGGAATAGGTTTATGTTACTGACCCAGACCCAGCGACCGTTGACTCCCCGCGAGGCGCGTGCCGCGAAACCCCGCGCGAAGCGCGGGGTTTCGCACAAGCGCCTCGCCGACGCTCCATAGGTTTATGTTGACCATTTTGAACCTGTTTATCTTGGCTCAGAATCAAGATATCGAGTTGATTTTGGTGTCATTCGACTCAGCTCGACGAGCTCAGTCGAATAAGCTATTATTTGCATGTTCGAATTTTTCACCCCAAAATGACTTACTCCCCCCTTCTCTTTTTCAAACTTCAGGGGTCTGTATCTCGGTCCCTGATTGCCGGATCGACTCCACTCGCCCCTAGTTCGACTCAGCTCGGCGAGCTCTTTCGAATGACACCTCATTTGTCCAAATCGGTCCAGCCAAAAAAAACCCCCTATAAGTCACAACATTCAGGCATTCTTAGTGTATATGTAGTAGATCAAATAAAACTCTTGGATAATTAAGAATAATTCAATATTATCCATGCACAGGTACATACATATATCTCTTAGGAATTTATGGTCTCTTTCTCTTACTAGAATTGTTAAGTCTTGAATAGGGATTTTTAGCTAAATTTTGAAAAAAGGGAATTTTTTACTTTTTTTTTTGTTTTATTAATGAAATTTTGAAAGAAACTAGAACTTATTCTGCCTTTCTTGCCGAAATTTACCTAATGTCTAATAATTATGTAATTTAATGAAATCATTTTTATTTACATCTATATTTTACACTTACATATGTTTATCATGCTTTGAAATATGTTTTTTATTTATAATAAAGTACAGTCTTATTTAAACGAATGTATAGACATACTCTAAGTAAAAAACAAAATTTTATTTAATTAAAGAAATTTTATTTTATGTTAAATAATGCTCTTAATTAAATTTATATTTTTTTGTCAAATATTATTTTTAATATTTCCTTTTTGTTTTTCTAATTATAAAAATAATTAACGAATTTTGGTTGAATCTACAGAAAATAATAAAAATGAGGATGGAAGTTTTAAAATAAAATTGTTGAGAATGGAAATAAATAAAATTGATGGCCAAACTAAAATTAAAATTTTATTAGAAATTAATAAAAAGAATGAAGATATTCTTCCATTTGTTAAAATAAACTTTGATTCCGAATCCTTACAAACAATAAAAAATATAAATGAAAATGGGAAAAAATTAATTTTGATTGAAAAATTCCACAAAAATTTATGGATATATGAAGTAGTCATTTATTTAAAGGAAATTAGTAATAAAATGATTAAACAAAAGGTTAGACAAAATACTTTTATGTTAAAAATAATTTAGGTGATAAAATGCGAAAGATGCGAAACGCGAAAGCGAAATTATTTAAAAATTCTGAAAATATTTTGTACATATCAGAATTATAAATTACGAGATCGTGATGCAAAAATAAAACCATTAGTGCATTTTTTAAAGAAGACTCCCACTCAGGTTCTACCATTCTACCTCGGCAACTGTTACGACCCGAGGTGTCCGAGATTTAACTAATGTCGACGAGCACGATAATAACACTTTATCTGGTGTAGAAATAAACAATGTATAGGCGAAGGGAATTGGACAGACGAAGGAGATCAGTGACTAGCCCCGCTAGTATGATCCAACTAGACTGACGCATACACTGGCTTTTATAGTAAACACTTTAAGGGCTGTCGCCCATACACAACAGCAACACACTCTTTAGTATCGTTTGGCCCAAGAATTAAAATTTTAAACTTTTTATTTTATCTACATTTTAGGAATTAATGACTTTGTTACCTATGTTTTTTGAACAAATTGATCTGGGAGATAATGAATTGGCATTTAAAAGAATGCCAAATGCATTTAGTTACTCTAGCATTGATATAAACATAAATGGAATAAAGTCTAAATTATGGATAGAAATTAAAACTTATAAATTAACTAGACTAATATGTTTTTTTAATCCGGAAGGGCCACGAAAACCTTTAAAAAGACAAAAATTTCAAAAAGTTAATTCAATTGACTCAACTTCATTAGATGATAGAAATCATGCAGCAAAATTGAGATATTCTCACTTTGAAATTTGTGTTAAATTTGAACACCCAGGCAATTATTTTATTATAATCCTGAATCTTTTACAAATTGGATGGTTTCAATTTTACGTCAAAATTAAAAAAGCAAACAAGGAAAAATGTGTTTTCAAAATGTTCAAGAAAACGAGTGATTTAGAGAGAAAAGTGTTGAAAAGTTTGAGACGTTACATGATGCTAAATATTGCAGTAACAGATGTAGATGATATTGAAGATGGTCAAATGAATGTAATTAGTAATGAAGATTATATAAAAAAATATCCTAAAGATCAATTTGTGGCCTCGATTGCTCCATCTCTAATGAGAGGAACATATGAATTTTATTTGGATGAGGATGGAATAACAAAAGAAAGACCATTAACATATAGATCCCCTGAAAATTGACTTTTTTGTAAGAAATCTGGCTTCTGTGCGATTTAAAATTTACAAAGAAATTTATTTCTGCGCATTCTATTGTTATTTTACTATCCAAATAAATAATTATAGACAGCTCGTATGTTTTTATCGTGTCGGGATAAAACATGGAACGGACAAGACAAGGAACGACAAAACACGGTCGGACAAAACAAGGTATTTCCATAACACGGAACGGACAGAACACGGAATGACCAAAACACGGAATACATTAAAATCATATTTTTTAAATCAGAATTTATTTAAATAAGAATATTGTTAAAAATCAGAATATTTTTTAAAATCAAATTTATTTAAATCAGAATATCTGAAAAAACAGAATTTAAAAATAATTCTGAAAAATTTTAAAAATATTCTCTGGACCGTGGCCAAATCACGGACCAAATCACGGAACGACCAAAAGGTCGTTCCGTGATTTGGCCATTCCGTGTTTTGGTAAGACCTTGTTTTGTCTTGTCCGTGTTTTGGTATGTTCCATATTTTGGTCGTTCCTTGTTTTGTCTTTTCCATGTTTTATCGTTCCATGTTCTGTCCGTTCCGTGTTTTGGCATTCCTTGTTCTGCCCCTCACCCGTTTTTATTATGTTTATCTCAATTGATAACGAAAAAATTAGTGATTTGGACTGTCAAGATTATGCTGTTTATGCAGATTTTTTCTTTGCTTTTTTTATTCATTTTTACAAATTAGTCTGCTATTTTTCTTAACTTTTATTTAATTCTTTCACTCTATCACTTTTTTCCGCTATTTATTTTTTATCCTTAATATTTTTATTATAACTTTAAAAATTTCTATTTATTTTTTTTCAATTTCACATCTTTAACAATAATTTAAAATTTTTGAAATTGTGTACTAGTATGTATGTACTATAATTTAATGAATTTTATAAATTATTTTGTGATATTTAATTTTTAACAAATCTAAACTAACAAAATCAAAGTTATTCTTGTTTCCTTCTTTCTTCTAATTTTGAATTTTTCGAAAATGTTAAGCAGCAATAATATAATATTGAGGTTAGTCCCACTAAAATCCTCTTTACAACCTTCCATACAAACCAAAATAAAATAAACACAAAAACAGTAGAGAAGAGAATTACATCAACTGAATAATAGACAACCCAATTCATTTCCTTAGCTCCAGGTAAATCAAGTTCTGATAAATCGCTAAATTCTGCCGCAAATTCTACCCATTTTACAAGTCTTTCTTTTGGATTAAATGGAGTTAATTTAACTTTTTTGGCTATAATTTGGGCTTTTTGACGAAATGATGGGTCTGTGAGGATCTAAAAAATATTTTGATATCAAAGTCTTTAGTCTATTTTACGAGTCCAATAAAGTTTAAGATCAAGGCGATGATCAATATTGAGAAAAATGTATACCTTTTCTATCGTTTCAGCCAATATACTTTCAGCATTCGGTCTATTCAAATCATTAACATCAATTTGTAATCCAAACCCAATCTTCTGGGCAACATCGGCATTGTAAAATTGGTCAGCAAAAAGAGGAAGTCCAATGACAGGAACGCCTGCGGTTACAGATTCGGTCAAACTGTTTTGGCCGCAATGAGAGATAAATGCACGAAGGTTGGGATGGGCTAGAGTAAAAGGAACAAATATTAGATCTTCACCAGATCAAAATTTTAATTTCAAATTCAACCTATTAAAACTTAATTTCGAATAAATTAATCAAAATAAATTAAATATTTGATCATATTCAAATTTTCACTCCAAATCCTTTGACATTCCCCCAAATCCACATGGTATCACCGATCTATGTAGTTGTTAATAATGATGGGGAGGGGGGGAATATCGTGAGATTTAATAGGATTGGTAACAGTGCTTCGAAGCTCGTACCAAAATTCGTACTCGTACCTCGTACTCGTACTCGTACCTGGTACGAAGTACGAGTACGAGTACGAGCAAAAAAATGGGGCAGGTACGAAGTACGAGTACGAGTACGAGGCCAAAAAAAGTGAAAAGTACGAGGTACGAGGCCTAAGTACGAGCTCGTACTTCTCGTACTTGGTGTTAATAGGAAAATTAAAGAAATATTTTAATTCCTTTCATGCATCATAATATGAGCAGGTGGCCGAGTGGTGAAGGTGTGTGGCTGCACCAAAGCCTTTAATAATTTAATATTGGGTTCGATTCCTATTCACTGGACAATGAATTTTAATGTTTTTCTTTTTATAAATAACTCATTTTATAAGTTTAATTCTGTTTTAAAAATTATTCTATTTTTACATGGAAAAATTATCGGTTTTTGGCCCTCTGAAATTCTTAAAAATTTTCATTGTACCTCTAAAAAGTGAGTTTTTTTTTCGCTTACGGCCTTCCGGAATTTTCAAAATTTTCGCCTGCCGCGCTGAAAAAATAAGAAAGTTGGCTTAATGGCTACTAAATTCTAAAGTTTTTGCCTCCGGCTGTGAAAAATGGAATAAATCTGGCTTCATGGCCTTCAAAATTTTTCAAAATTTTCGCCTGCGGCGCAAAAAATAATAGAAATCTGACTTAAGGACATCCAAAATTCGCAAAATTTTTGAAAAAAGGGATTTGAGATTAAAAGGGATATCAGGAGATTAAAATGTGAAAAGTTCGGTGGAAAGGATAAGTTCCATGTAAGAAGATGGAAAATGTATGAAAAAATGTGTCGAGAGTTTCGGGTAGCCCGACCCATCATGGAGGAAATATTTATCCATGCACTCCAAAAAACTCAAAAATTTCGCCTGCGGCGCAGCAAATTGATGAAATTGGAGGATTTATAACTTCAAAGCCTTCCAAGATTCAAAAATTATCACATACAACGCTTAAAATTTAAAAATAGATGTCCTAGGCTCCAAAAAATCATAAAAATTTTCGATTTTTTGCTTTTTTCTCAAGTACGAGTAAGTACGAGGTACGAGTACGAGGTACGAGGCCTAAAATAAGGGTGGTACGAGGTACGAGTACGAGTACGAGCAAAAAAATAGGGGTGGTACGAGGTACGAGTACGAGGCCAAAAAAAGAGGTGGTACGAAGTACGAGTACGAGTACGAGCAAATTTGAAATTTCGAAGCACTGATTGGTAAAGTGATTAGTGAGGTTAAGTAATTAATGCAGGTAAGAATGATATCAATTGATTTATGAGTCTTAATCCACTGATATACTCCTTAATCCCTCTTGATTACTCTAAATGCATTTATATCCCTCCAAATTCTTTTTATCCTCTCAAATCTCGAGATATTTTACACAAATAAAATTTAGATCAACAAAAAGAATTCACCTAAAATTGCAGTTTGGCGAATCCACTCAAAAGCATGAACATTCGGAAAAGATTTAAACAATTCTGACTGATTTTTTATTGTTTCCTGATCCAACTTCCAAATGAAATGAACATCGGGAAACCGTTTAAATGCATTTAGAATTGAATCTCTCATATAATTTGTGATTTTTGTAGTATCAGTAATAGAACCGAAAGAAAAAAGTATAGCGCCTTCTTTTGCTTCATCTAATATATTTTTAGTTCTCTTAAAATTGAAGAATTCTTCATTGGAATTTTAAACCCAAAATTTTATATAACATACCTTATCTAGTATTTTGCTGTCTGGAGGAGCCGAATCTTGCACAAGCCCCCCAATATAAACAATTTTATTTGAAATAGGTCTAGGAAAGTCTATAAATGGATTTGTGTTGATAAATACTAGGGACGATTTTTTAAGAAGTTCATTCAAATCTGGAAAGTCTTCACCAAATTCTGCACGAATAATGGGATCCTGAAAAATTTTTTTGGAAAACTCTAACAAATAAAGAGACTTGTAGTCGTTTAAAATGATCATGCATCCAAATCCACTCGTAAAAGTCATTGTAAAAATTGATTAGTCTATTACTGAATGATTCTAGTCCTAATCTTGGAGCAAAATTATCTGAAAATTAATTTGGAAATAATTCTGTTTTTCATACAAACTTGGTACGTAGCTAGAAAATGTTGGAATATCATATTTTCTAGCAATCCAATGAAGTAATTGAACAGCATAAGCTGTAATTTGTACACGTACACCAATTTTGTGGAAAATAGCTGCTGCACAATGATCATAATTTTCTCCTATTCCGACGTCAAAATTTTCTTCCTCTAATTTTTGTAGTAATTGACGTTCTTTTATTGTTTCTATAATGATTAAATTTGAGACAGTAAATTAATATTGAAGTCAACCGAGCTTTGTCAAGATCTAGTTTCGGTTTAATCGCCAGTTTAAATTTACCTTTACATGCAGTTGCAAATACTGGTCCAATGGGATCGTTTTGATGTCCAAATAAGGTTAGGAAAGGTCTCCTGTTTGCAAAAGAATCTGTAACCAATGAATTTTTCTTAACATCCAATAATTCAGCATTTTCTGAGGTTGGTTCAACAATATATTTATATGCTGGATTTACCCGAGATGTTTCATTTTTATATTTGAGATCCAAGTCCATGACAAATTTGAGAAAATGCTGAAATAAAAACATGTTTAAATTAAGCTTTAAGTGATGGGTAATATTTACGGACATAGTAAATATTACGGACAATATTTACGGACATCTAATTTTATTTAAAAATTTTTTTTCTCAATGAACATTATTTCCATATGTATTTTACAAAATAATTTAGGAGAGGGACTAACCACTTGATGGCCAGCATCAACTAATGTGTCTGCAATTTTCCCTAAAAATTGAGCATGACTCCAGCTTAAAGTAGGGGAATATACGAGTATTTTTAGTTGTCTTTTTGTTTGTTTAGAATTATTAAAATTTTGTTGTGAAGCAAATGTTGAAATTAACAAAAATAAAATTATTAAAAGTAGGCGAAAAATTGACATTTTTTAAATTACTTATATTAAAAAAAATATTTTTTTAATAAATTTTAAATTTAACCAGAATATTTTAAACAATTAAATTTATTTTTAAAAATTAAATAATTTAAAAGTAATTTTTAGAAAAGGAAAATATTTAATTATCATTTATAATGAAAAGTTTATCAATTAAATAATAAAGTATTTACGTGACAATCTCCACACACATCATTTAATTGACACAAACCAAGAATAAATTTCTATTATTAAAAAGTGTTTGCAATTTATTGGCTCTAAAATAAAATATATGTACTCAAATAAAAATAAATTAAAGATTAAAAAAATTTGTCATTTATAATTTTAAAATATTTTTTTCTGATTTTTGTTAATTTATATATAAAATGTAATTTTCATTTAATTTAAATTTAAATTAACTGCAGGATGACACATTACAATACACCTAAATTATGTAATTATTCTAAGAAATCTGGCATCTGGCCAGCAGAATGTTTGAAGAAATTGATATCTTCTGAATTTCAACAAAGCCTCTGATATCCGTTATTATTTACCCAAATCCCATTATCCACCCAAATCCCATGCCTATTGTTATATGTCAAGAGAAAAAGCTCAACAACTGAGTCGAATGACATCAAAATTAGCCCATGGTAGCAACTTTTGGCTGAAATATAGGGTTCGAGAAATTAATTAAATATATTTTTATTTTGCAATTCATCACATCATTTTCAATCATTTTTACGAATCATCCCAATTCTTTAAAAATTTGAGAAAAATAAACATATTCATGATTAATGAATTATATGTATATATAAATTTACAAGAAAAAAGATGTGATCATCTTTATTTTCCAGATAATTTTATTTTTTTATCATTATTTTAATCAATTTAATTTACATAATTTTTTACATTTTTAGTTCTTTAACATAATTTTTAAATAATCTGGCAGAAATTAGCCAAAAAATATTTGATTGCCTAAAAAATACCTATCCAATAAATTTAATTACCTGGAATAATCAGAATTTTTTAAAAATTGTTTTTATAAGCATAAATTATTTTCGAATATTGCTTTGTTTCATGAAACTTAATAAAAATCTAATTATTCAGAAAATCATAATTAGGGCTTAATTAAATTGTATTTTTAGAAATAATCAGAAAATATTTTCCGAATTAATATATTTATTAAATAAAATGAATTACTATTTAATTTTTATTTTAACACCAATAGTTTTCATTTTACTTTCTTCTGTTGATCAAGTAATTTTTAAATATTATAAAAGTTGACCTCATATTAGGATGCCCCAAATTCTCGATAAACCTTAATACATATTAAAATTTTTTGTGAATGTGCAGGGGAGCTAACTGTTGTGTCCGCACTTGCAGAAAGAATATAAATGAAAATAAATAACCCAACATCGGGTTGGATGGTAGCACAGTCGTTTGTGCTTCGGTCTGGGCTCATTCCGTGATGGTTCAATTCCATCTCCCATCCAAACAATTTTTCCACAGCATGAATATCGTATACAATACTAACTAAACGTACCTCCTATTTAAGAAGGATGTACATACGTCCTATTTAACCTCCTATTTAACTCTAAAATCTTAAAATATTTTTCTATCACCCCAGGGTGTACCTGAAGGGGAGAATTTAAAAATAACTAAAATAATAATCAACTTTTACCCATAAATAAATATTTTTAGACAAACGGATATTGCTGTACGGTTAAAGGATTCATCGGATTCCCTCCAGATTGCAACATTTTTGGCTGTAATTGTGATTGTAATAAATGTGATGAACGTAAATATTTTTAATTAATTTTGTCAAATATCAAAATAAATTTAAGCGGTGGACAAAGCCTGCTGTTTGGTAGAAAATTCTGGGATAGGTAAAATAGCTTGTTCTTCTAAGAAGCGGAAGCGTAGCTTAAAACAAAATGAAGTAAAGTAATTTTCATATAAATAAATAAACGTTAAAAATTATGGAATAATCAGGACTCCGATTCGTATTTACATATGAACTTTTTGGATAAAAAAATTACATTTACACTAAAATTTTAAAATATTCACTGAAAATTTTCTCGATTGGAGCCCTGTATACTATAACTAATTATATTACTTTAATTATTCTTCATTTAGAGACAATGGGTAGTGAGGACAAGAATAAAACATATTGATGGCGTATTTAATGAATTGAAGAAAATGTAATTTAAAATTAAAAAAAATTTATATTTAAATAAATATTAAAAAAATTTAAAATCTACAATCAACAAATTGATAATGGGTTTAAAAAGGAATAAAATTTTGAAATGAGTTTTGCTGTTTTTTTATTTTAACAAAATTTTTTATCAATCGCCAACATTTTCTTCCTCGGATTCCTTTTTGTTTGAACTATGTGATTATCAGGAATCTTATTTGGCTTCACATTTCGATTTAGATAAATTATGGAAAAAATGATTATTGAATGAAGTGATTATGTTAATAAATGTTTTTTCGGTAATCTTCTAGTTTACTGGTCCCGGAAAAAAATTAGGAGCAAATGCTGTTTAGATATTTTTCAGGGTTACCAGTAGGTAATCGAGTGTGTGAGTTCGAATCTGAGCTTAAAATTGATTATTTTCGAACCCCGGATCCGAATTCGACAAAGTCGGTTTCGGGAAAAAGTTCAAAATTAAAAATATAGGGCTATTATTACTCCTCTCCTCGAGCGGAGTTGAACGGTATCAAAATCATGATGTTTCGACAACTTTGGACGAAGCTATGTTGTCTGATTTATATACGGAAGTCTCACCAAGCGTGTGTTTAATTGATCATAACAAGGTCTAAAATTGTCGAAGCATCATATTTTGATACCATTCGACTCAGCTCGAATAGTCGTGTCAGATTAGCCCTAAATTTTTAATTTCGAAGTGTTTACCCCTAATTCGACATAGTCGAATCCGAGTCCAGGGTTCGAAAATAATCAATTCTTTGCTCAGATTTGGAATCAGCACACTCGATTACCTACTGGTGACCTTCTGTGACCTTCAAAAATATCGAAACATCACTTGCTCTTAATTTTTTCGCGGGACCAGTAAACTAGAAGATTATCGTTTTTTCTTCTGTCTAAAGGAAACATTATTTATATTTTGTCTTTATTTAACGAAATTTTAAATCTTCTTGAAATATTGCGAATTGAAATGATAGTAAAAGGATAGTGTTTTTTCCTTCAATAATGGTTTTCTTAAGAATCGTCTTCTTCATCCCTATTTCGCATTCAGATCAGAACGATACTTCTTATTTGTGTGGACTTTGTGATATTTAGGAATTTTACTTGGCTTCAATTTTATTATAGACTAATAAAATCTCCAAAAATGGACATTCGTTGATCTCAAAAAGCTAATAAAATCTTGTATATATTCGGGTTCGGGACATAGATCCTGCTCATTTACGCGTTCATCTGGAGAACATTTTAAAAATAATTCTTATATGTTTTGTTTCTTTTATTATATTGAGTTTAATTATAACCAATATATTATTAACAACATTTAAAATAACAAGAATTATATGTTTTACGGATTTAGTAAAATTCAGAATTTTGTAATAAACATTTATTATTTTTAAAATAAATTTTAATTCATTTTACTATAACAAAAATAAACTTTTTACTTTACTCCTGTCATTTCTAAAAACAAATAAATAATGCGAACACATGTCCATATGATCAAACACAATTGATTTAATAAATTGTTGTTATTGTGAATAACAATTGAATAAAAAAAACTTAAAACTAAAAGCTTTTTTATTATAAAAATCTCAAGTTTTTATTATTGTTATTAGTAGAACAATTAATGTGTGCCGCCCTGTTTCCAAACTATATTTTTGACAAATGACCTATGTCGATGCAATGTTGTAAATTTATTCTTGTAGAAATACTTGGGACTTTTTTTAATTTTATGCATATTTGGAAATATTTCTCAATAAAACACTATTTAACTAGGGGAACCTACATAGTCCATAAACTTCATTCTCTCCAAACCTAAAATAAGATTGAAGATGCTTTACCCACAAAAACCTACTTTTGGACTCCCTTGAGGCCGTGATGAAGCAAAAAAAAAGCACCGAAAAAAGCACAAATATTTGAAAACCTGCCTCATGGTATACTCACAAATTTGACTATTCCATTTTAAGCCTTTACTAATAAAAATAAAATGAAATCTAATTACTTATTTCTTCTAATAACAATATCAATAGTTATTCTATTATCTGTTGATCAGGTTAGTCTATAAAAATTTAATTAAATTCTAAATATTTTTTATACAAAATTTATAGTCTAATGGATATTGCTGCAAAGTTAGCAATTTTTTGTGGGGGCATCCCCCAGACTGCAACATGTTAGGATGCAATTGTGACTGTGCAAAGTGTGTAGATGGTAAATAATTAAAAGTATTCTGGGTATTTTATAAAAAAATACTGACGAAATTCATATAAAATACCCTCAAAGACATCAGTTTTAGATGTTTTAGAAACTGATTGGCCATTGATAGGGGAGGTATGTCTAAGCGATATTCCCTTATTTAGGCTGCTCTCATTATAATAATGAGGGTATAATAATTTATAATTATAATATATAATTATAATAATTTATTATTAATAACAACTTATCACCCTCATTAGTTAATTAAAAATAAGCTTCGACTTTATTTTTCAGTCATCGACAAGGGTTGTTGTTTGGCACAAAAGACTGGAATTGGTTTGTGTTCAAAAAAACGGAAACGAAGTTTAATGGAACAAGACGTAAATCTTAAATAAATTTTAAATAAAAAGAAAATATTTAAGCTAAAATCGTTTTTTGGTGACGACTATGAGAAAATGTTGAATGAAGAAAAGTGAGATTACTAAATATGAAAGGAATTTTGATATTTTATTAAAAATTAAAAAAAGAATTTTCCTCAATTTTTATTGTGTCATCTTCTACTATAAAATATTTCAAGAATAAATTTTTGTTTTATATTTTGAAGAGAAGGTTGGTCATCTGCGAGACCGCCGAAATATAACAATAATGTAAAAATGTTAGAGCAAGTTAGTTTTAATAACAACTATTTAGATTAGATAGATACCGTAAATGCTGAAATAATGTCCCTCTCTCAATTAATCACCCCCTCCCTATTAATTACCCCCCTTCAGAGAGAGGTTGAAAAAATAATTATCCCTCTTAAAAATAGTTATAATTAGCCATTTAAAAGAAGCTCAAATAATTACCCCCTTCCTTTTAATTACCCCGTCCACCGGAAGGTTGAAACAATAATTACCCTGGGTAATTATTATCCTGGGTAATTAAGGTATGTCGATATAAAGACGATTAGGACAGAATCAAAATCATTTATGTAAAATTTTTATTACATAAAGCCTTTAATAAATACGAAACTACAAGAAAAAAGAATCAAAGAAAAAAGGATATGGAAATTTCAATCATTAAAACAGAAGGGATATTATTAATCTCAATAAAAGATTTTTAAAGAAGTTTTCGCTTTTTGTTGGGATTTTCCTTATTTTTGTTCCCAATGTTGATTATTTCGTTATTCGAATCAGTATTAAACTTCACTTTTTCTCTTGTTATTCCTTCCTCATCCAAATAAAATTTATAAATTCCATCATTCAAAATTGGGTATATTAAGGCAACAAATTCTATTTCATCATGATATCTTTCTTCAAAACCTTCATTAAATACATTCATTTGGCTATCCTCAATATCATTTTCCTCTGTCTTTATTATGTTCATTGATATGGAATGTCTCAAACCTTTCAATACTTCTCTCTCCAAATCATTCATTTTCTTAAACATTTTCATAACACATTTATCCTCTTTTGCTTTACTAATTTTAACATAGAATTGTAAAAAACTCTCGGTAAAACTCTTCAGTAAGATGATAAAATAATTGCCCGGATTTTCAAATTTTATACAAAGTTCAATGTGAGAATATTCCATTTTCTCTTGCCGTTTATTGCCTTTTAAAGAAGTCGACTCAATTAAATTAGCCTTGCTAAAATTTTCTCTTTTTAAAATTTTTCTAGGCCCTCCCAGATTAAAAAAACTTATTAATCTTGTCAATTTATAATTGTTTTCAATTTTTGTCAGAAAGTTTGATTTTATCCCATTTATGTCTATAACTTTGCTTTGAAAATTAGCATCAGTTGTTATATTATAAACTAACAATTTATTTACTTCTAAATTAATTTTTGCGAAATATATAGGAATCAAGGCAATTAATTCCTAAAAATTTGAATGAAATAGTCAGAATTTGTATCTAGTTTAGGACATGTGTCCCATGAAATTTTATGCATCCAAAAATAGTATATATACGTCCATCAGAGTATATGCGTCCCAAATTATCAATATGTAGGCTTTTCAATTTCCACGATATTTCTCTTGAAACCAACCCAAAATATCTCTTAATACACCTAGAAATACATAATCCTCGCAAATCCCTATCTCTGTTAATCACCTAAATTTTTATTATTCATAATCCCTCTATATCCACCAATCTGAACTCAACTTTTCAGCAACCCATGCAAAATTTCTGAAAATTTTTGAAGGCCTAGGACGCGGACTCCTTCCATTTTCAGTGCCGGTGGCAATTTATGGGATTAATTAAAAAATCACGTCACGTTCCCAATAGAACGTCAGTTCCTAATAGAAAAAATCAAGTTCCCAAAAGAAGCGCACGTCCCATTTTAAGCGCACGTTCAATTAGAAGCGCAGTCTACAGTAGACTTGAAAATTATTGGGAAAAATACAGTATTAAATTTCACCTTCTGTATAACCTCGGTTCCCGGAGCAGTTCAACTGAGTCCGCACGATTGAGTCCTCACGATTGAGTCCGCACGATTGAGTCCCCACGATTGAGGCCCGGCACAATTGAGTCCCCACGATTGAGTCCGCACGATTGAGTCCCCGTTGTATATACCTCAATTGAGTCCCCGTGGATTTGATTTAAGAAAAAAGAGTAATTAAAGAACAAAATTGTAATATTATAATAATCTATTATTTCAAACAGGATGGCGGATATTTTAACTGAACGTGGAAAGCCTAAACTTGTTCATGATGGATTTTTATTTGTGTTTCATAAAATGAACAAGGACGAAGACATCAAGTTTTGGAGATGTGAGGCCTTCAACAAAAAAGATGTCACATGTAAGGCTCGCCTACATAGCGACCTCAACAACTCTGTTTTGCGTGAATTAAATCATCACGTTTGCAGCGTCAACCCTGACAATGTTCAAAAGCAAGTTGTTGTGACAGGGATTAAAAGAAGGGCAATTGAAACAATGGAGCCTCCGGCCACAATCAGAGCAAATGCAATGGAGAATATACCAACGCCGGTTTTGGCTGATTCTGGCGTTTATACTGAAAATAATGATCCAAGACAACATAGGTTTATTTTCTTTTTTATTTTTTTAATAGATTATTTTTTAGAATCCTCATATTTGGTCGTATGTCATCTGGGGAGTGGTCAGAACAAATGGAACATGTTTTTGTTGATGGGAGCTTTAGCGTTACTCCCCCTTTATTCTATCAAATTTTTTGTGTGCTTGCAAGGTTGGTTGATGTTAGTTTGCTGTAGAAAAAACAGTCGGAATTAGGAAAGGGTGGGGACTGGTTTTTCTATTTTAATTTCTATTTTAATTTATTTTTTCTATTTTTAATTTAGAAAACGGAAGTGGGTGTTCCCTGTGCTCTATGGGTTGCTGACGAATAAAACAAAATCGACATATGCTCGCTTTTTTCGACTCGTCAAAGAAATTTGGCCGCAGTTCAACCCACGTGTTTTCTCAACAGACTACGAAGCAGCAATTATTGGAGCTATTCAGGAGGTTTTTCCTCGTTCAGACCTGGCCGGTTGTCTGTTCCACCTGGTTAGGAATCTTAAAAAAGCAATTTGCGATGCTAATTTAATGCAGGTTGTTTTTTATTCCCATTTTCATTTGTACTCCTATTTTTCAGCGTTATAAAAATGATCCTTTGTTTGCCGCTGATGCCAAATTAATTACTTCAATAGCTTTCCTGCCTATCTGTGATATATCTTTGGCAATCATTGCTTTAGAGACCTATCTCCCACTTGAATTACAACCTGTTCTTGACTGGTTTGTCATGTATTTTAATTTTTATTTAACGTTCAGGTTTATTACAAATTATACTGGCCGTTTGCGTATGGATGGTATGCGAAACCAACCGAGGTTTGATCCAGCAATCTGGAGCGTGCATAGAAGGGTACTTGAAATGGGGGATAGAACTAATAATTACGCAGGTTAAGGTTTACTTATTTTACAAAAAAATGTTTACTTATTTTACAGAAGCTGCACATAAAAAACTCCAACGGGCATTCAGTTGTTCGCATCCAAATATATGGAGATTCATCGATACATTACGAAAAGAACAGAAGTTGATTGACGCGGATTATGCCATGTGTCAACAGGGAATGGAACCTCCACCTAAACGAAGAAAGTATCGAGATGCCGATAGAAGAATTCATGCGTTAGTCCAAACGTATCAGGCCTCAAATCCAAATTTTGATCACAATTATCAATTTCCAGTTGCTTATCCTATTCACCCAATTATTGATTTTTTAAGAGGTGTTTCTCATAACTATAATATGGATCCATGAATTTTTATTTATTTGAGAATTTTGTTTTAGAATTAGTGATTATTGTTTATTAGATTGAATAAAGATTTTTGATAATCTTGATAAAATTTTTAATTGTGGGATTTTACAAAATATCCCGCAACATTTTTGAAATAATCACGCATGGGGGATTTGGAATTTTTTAAAAAATTTTTAAATAAAATCCACGGGGACTCAATTGAGGTATATACAACGGGGACTCAATCGTGCGGACTCAATCGTGGGGACTCAATTGTGCCGGGACTCAATCGTGGGGACTCAATCGTGCGGACTCAATCGTGAGGACTCAATCGTGCGGACTCAATTGAGGTGTACCGCTCAGTTCCATTATTTTCTTTTAAACAAATACTTATTCCAAATCTTTTAAAGTAATAGTAATACTCTTCAATTAAAATTACTTTTTTTCCTTTATTTCCATTGTCTATACTTTTTATTTTGTGAAATCCATCGTTAATGTAATAGCAATTGCTTTTATAAATACTTGTATAAATGTAATCTTTTTCATTTTTTTCATCAATTTCATATAAAATTTCAATTTTACTTTTTCCACTTTCATCATCAATTTTATTTACTTGCATTCTCAACAAATTTATTTTAAAACTTCCATCCTCATTTTTGTTATTTTCTGTAGATTTAACCAAAATTCGTTGATTATTTTTATAATCAGAAATTGAGAAGAAAAATGTTAAAAATAATATTTGACAAAAAAATAAAAATTTAATTAAAAACATTAATTACCTAAAAATTAAGAAAAATTGGCATTAAATTTTTAGCTTAAATTCTAGCAAAATTCGCATTTTTTAGCAGAATTGTGCAAAACATGAATATATTTATTTTCAATTTTGCCATTCAATTATTTCCCTCATACTGAAAAATGGAAGGGACTCAAACTAACAACTTTGAACGTTTTGACCAACCCCAATAATTAATGAAACATCTTGAGGAGAGGTTTTAATCAGAAAAATTTCAACGAGGCAGTTTAGAGTGTTACCATTATTTTTTAGTAAACCCTAATTTGTCGTGACTTTGAAACCTACGATAGGTATTTAACACATTCCCCAACACCCCATATGACCTTTTGTTTATGTAATTGAAAAGTCACAAGAAGGCACTTTTCTTCAAAATTAATAATAACAAAATTAATAATGCACTTTATCACTTTATATGATAAAGTGCATTATTTTCTTAGACATGAATAATAAAAAATATCATTTCAATTATAAATTATGAAATGGCGATGCGGGGAATTTACTTTAAATGATAAAGTGCATTTATACATATTATTTTGTCTATTTTTGAGAGATTTTGATTTCAAAATCTCTATATGTAGTCTATGCATACACTACATATAAAGGAGTTAGAGAAACTATAGAAAAGGGGAGAGTGAAATGTTACTCTGACCCATGTGTACCTTTTTCTGAAGGAGAATATCAGATAAGAATTTTGATTCAATGAAGTTAAAATTTTATTTGACTGGTCATTATGTTACTTTGATTCATTTGTACTTTTTGGAGAAAGAAAAGCTAAAGGAGAATAAAAATAAAATGGTGGGAGATAACCACAAGGTAAAGGATAAGAAGCATAATAATATCTTGAAATCTGCCTAATAATTTTATATACCTAAATTATAGTTTAAAGAAAACAATATATAGTCAAATAAATCATCTGAGGTATTTGCTTATTTTTAAAATGTTTATAACCCATGGTTAAATATATGCCCTGAAAGCATTTATTTTTATTTTTTTACTTTAGAAAAATGAAAAAAATCTATTCCTCTTTCAAAAACAAAAATAATAAAAAATTTGTACACCCACAAGTTCAAGCAGTTCAAAAACACAAATCGGCATTAGACCAATTTTGTGATTTTACCTCTCTCGTCGGCTTTCGACTTTTGCATTCAAAGCATTTTTTGTGGTTAAGAATTCTCTCAGCTATTTTAATGGTTATTTCAACCGGTTTAATATTGCTTCAAACAAGTTATTTTTGGAAGAAATATGTCGAGTCTAAGGGGCAGAGAATTGCTACGGTTAAGGAGTCTGAAAATCGGGAATTGCTACAACCCAGATTTCTTGTCTGTTTTAGCCATCAAACAATGTGATAAATTATTTTGTAAAATTAGCAAATGTGAAATAAAAATTAGGAAACAATACATATAAGGAGAAAATAATGATTTTAATAAAATAAATAATTAAATGCCCTCAGGGCATATCTTTAAAAATTGAAATTAATTAATTTTAAAATACAATTAATGATTATGGTGGGAAAAAATGATGTGGGATTGGAGGGGAGGGGGACCCCAATGATCAGGGGGGGACTCCGAGACATTCAAAAGTATGCCTGAGGTCATAAATTTATTTTAAACTTGAGCTTCCTAAAATTTATTGATTAATTAAAAAGATCGTTAATGCGAGGCTATGGATCAGTAGATTTCCGTGAAATAGTTTATCGACACCAAATTGAAACTATGACACAGACTAGCGTTATTGAACAAGTTTGGGTCTTTAAATTTAAACAAAAATATTATTTTTCTAAATTTCAGCTAAAAACTGAAATGGAACATCTAGACAACTTTTTTAACAATTCTGAAAATTATTCCAATAATACGTTAAAAGAAAAAGGAATATTAATATCCGGGAAGCTTAAATTGCTACGTCAGGTTAAGGCTGCTATGGCTGTAAGGAATTTAACTATTTTTTAAATTAATTAGGAAGATGGGTGTCAGAGCAATTTAACTTTAATGAAACTTGTCTAAATAATAATAAGTTAACTGATAATTAAAATATGTTGATTTAATTTCAAAAACTTTAAATTAATTTTACGAGGATCACCGGTAAATCCTCTTTCCAAAAATTTTTATTCGACCTCTAACCCCGAAATAAGAGGAAAAATGTATAGCATAATTATTTGGCTAAATAGAATTTTACATACTGTGTAAATTAAGTAGCTAGATTATTAAAACTCTGTTCTCGCTCCCCAATTATAATATAATATTTTTTCATTATTGTCATCTGCTCTTCAGAATAATCCTCATGATTCTAAGCGAATATGTATTAAAATACTTTTTTCTTATAATAAAGCCTTTTCATGAATTAAACCAACATCTTGGAATATACCCCTATTTTGGTGATAGTTGAAAATAGATCCATGTTACCCTATTATAGATAATACTGCAGATCTCTTTCAATTTTTGATGATGCCCTAAAGCTAAGACTATAAGAATTAACCAATTAAAGTTAACTACAATTAAAGTTATCGTAATTCCTAAAATACATATAGCCCTTTCGTAAACCAGAACCCACTCTAGGAGCCCCACCTTGTAGAATCTAGAAAAAAATAGAACCACATGAGCTCAATTTCTCTCTTTCACAGTTTGATGATGCCGAAAAGTTTGCTAATCCACTACAATTCAATTCAACATTAAACTACAAAACTGAACGATCTCAATATCGTCAACAACGCAATCGAGTAGACTCATGTCTTGTAGAATATGTCAAAACCTCTCAAATTGATAATTTTGTAAATTGTAGATTTAAACTAGCAAAGCAAATTTACTTCCAATTTGTTGAACAACAAAAAGATTATTTTTCTTATGCGAGAAGTGTTTGGTTAGATCCGGATCAGTTGATTGTAAAAAGTGGGGAATTTATTAATTATTACAATTAAACATGAAGGAGTTTCCAAAACATAGGACTCTAGACAAGGGAGACTGTTGAAGAGAAGTCAAGAAAGAGAGGGAGGGACAAAAAAAACAGACAAGAGACAAACAAGACTTTGTTCGGAACCAAACAGAGAACAAGGTTTTTAGCTTCCGGTTTCTGATATCCTAGGGATTCCAAGTTTCGACAATCTTTCTAAAGATGGGAGATAGAGTTTGACCCAAAATCGAAACTTAATGGAAAAATTGCCTATCACAGACAAATAAGATAATTCGGATTCAATAGCGATTAAAGTAGCCATCTATAACTACGTAAACGTTAATTTTTTAAATGTAAAAACGATATTGAATGGTTATGTTCCTGAGAGATCTCCTAGACAATCAACAACAGGCCTTCATCAGACTAGATGATCAGATTAACAGGCCTTCATTTTTAATCTGATCATCTAGGCTGGCATCAATGCCAATAGCCCAAATTTTGAATAAAGAATTATTCCTAGGTCATTTCTTCAATGACGGCCCAGGCCGATGGCAGCATAGTTGGCAAGTAGACAATGGACTTTGTGCCTTAGGTGGCCCGCAACAACGACGTACTATTGACTTGAAGCTTTTAAGTATTGAACAAAACTTTGATTATATTCTGGTCAAATCTAATCGACTCGAGGGCCATCCAAATGCTCGCATTTATTTTTATCTTCTCTATGAAGACCCGAATACGAAACAATTAATTAAAGCAAATTCGTATGAGTTGATTTCTGGCAAGAATTTGGAGCTGACTGTTAGAGGAATGTCTGAGATTATGGTAATAGTTAATTAATGTTTGACCTTGAGTCAAGACCGGGTTTTGTCCTTTTTAGGGGGGAGGGAGGGGGAGGGTCGTTTGTTACACCTCCAATTGTTAGCCAAACAAGGCCGAGCTTTGAATTAACAGTAAGTTAAAGTCCTATTGGGTATGTGAGGGTTTAGTATAAAATGAGTAATTAGAGATCAGTCTGTCGCCACCTGGGCCGCCACTATCGTTATTCTTGTATTTACTATTCGGATAAACTTGTTAAACTCTTCTTGTGTTATTCTGTTAGTCACTAGGTTGGACCGCGCCCTAGGGACATAACATCATTATAAGGGATCTTATCCTCGCATCATTGAGACAACACATTTTCCTTTGTTTGTAAACCGAGTAGAGGACCTAACAATGAACACAATATTAAATTATCATGAAATGATTTTCAATTTTTAGCAAGAGGATTGTACCAACTCATACCCATCAGATTGTACACCTTCCAACGATTTTGTTTATTCTCCTTTGGTATTTTAAAAATTTTTAAATAAACATTTTTTCAAATTTTCGGTTTGTAAATGGTGCCAACCACAAGTTAGAGCAGCTTGTCCGTGTGCTAATCCAGATCTTTATTTTGCTGAATATAAGCATTCAAAAGATATGAGAAATTGCACACTTTTGGATGTTTTGGAGTGTGGAGCTAGACAAAAGGATTTTTTTACTAGAGGCAAGAAATTTTGATTTTAAATGGAAGTACAAGTTCTTAAATGAAATTGCTCTCAAATTGATAAAAGTTAGGGATGACATGACTTTGAGGGGATTCAGAAAGCTCTGGAAAAAGTAAATCAGCAGCTCAAAAATACGTGTTGATTGCCTCGTCTAATTTCCTACCTAAGACATAACAGGAATAATCCGCTTAAATTAATTAATCATTTAACCAACTTGTGATTGGGCACCTAAAAAAATTGTGAGGGAAAAGCATGCAAAAAATAATTAAATCTTCAAAACATGGTAGAAAAGAATGCATCTGGGTTGACTAAATTAGCCCGCCACTTATATGTATGCAGCAGAACCCAAAGTTAAAAGTGGTAGGTAATCCATGACCAAATAAATTTTGCATAAAACACATTACTCTGTACAATAATTTTTTTAATTTAATCCTCTAGTTGATTGCCCTAATCCTTGTTCAACAACAGAATATACCGGAGATTATGCTGCTTTTGATTTAACTTTGGAAATGCTAAATATAAGTATGGAAGAAGCAGAAAAAAGTTATACTAGAGAACAAATGCTTTTACTGGATAAATTGAATGAATTTAAATGGCCTAAAATGAAAATTGTGAGGGGGAAACATACAAAAATGTAAGTCTAAATTTTCGGAATGATTAAAGAATATTCTGAATTTCTAAAAATTAATTCTGTTACAAATTCTGATCTCTTTATCCTCCAAATCCACGAATATCTCTACACACATGATTAATCGTAATCAGTTTATCTCCTGTTATCAAAACAAATACCCTTAACCACTCAGAACATCATTATCGCCAAAAATCAATCCTCTTATACCCAATATTCTTTTAATCTATCAATAATCCAGTAGATTATTTTTATTTTCCACATGCTTTGACTTCAAACATCCTTACTCCAAAATTTACCTTAATCATTTATCAATTTACTGATTAATTTAAATATAAATAAAAATTTAATTTTAATATATATTATGCATAATAGAAGATAAGTTGATCATTAATTTTTTTCCTTCACTTTTCAAAGTTGGCGAGCTAGTAAGCGACTTGATTTAATATTGGATGAATATTACAATTTTGTCATAAAATTGTTTAGATTTTTATATGGAAGGTAATTTAAATTTTATTATTTCTTTAAAATTCTACCTAAAATTTTTGTTCCTTCGCTTTCCCAACAATTTATGCTGAGGACGTCTCTGCCTTGCAGAACGAATCGCTCAAAGGAATTAACCCATTATTTGACTTGACAGAATTAAAAAATGATAAAATTGATATTTGTGGGGCTAACAATCTTTCTTCATTTGTCGAACAAATGAAAAAATTTGGAAAAATTTTCTTGGAAGAAATTTTTCGGAAATTGAGTTGGAACCAAGTAAATTAAATGTTAATAATTTTTAATACTTTTGACTTTTTTAAAGTTCTACCCTTGCCCAATTAGCATATCTAGTGAAAATTGTCAACAATTGTTAATTAATGGAACGATGAACATTGATAAAATAAGTGACATTCAAAAACTTGAAAGGTTTATCATATATCACTCAAATCCCACAATATCTTTTTTAATCCCTTCAAATTTGGATTTGTGTTGTTTTTAGGCTTTTGATTACACTCAAGAAGGCACCATAACTCCCGATTTTTGGCGTTTATTTTTCTTACGATTTCCGTAAAAAATTTTGATTTTCGATTTACGAGTTCCGACTTTTAAGCCAGTTCCGATTTCCGACTCTTCCGATTTCCGACACCCCTGACTATTCCGACCCACGTCTGATCGGCACCTGGGTCTTCTTAAATCACTTGGAATTTAAAAATTATTATTAAAAAAATTTCTTCTCTTAAAAAGGACCACATTCTACCGTCAATGCACACTTGAATTGGCCCTAACACTAAATTCAACCCCAGCCAATCCAATTTGTATTGTTCAATTTTATAGCTATGCAGTAGAAAATCTCTTATATTTTAACAAAGTTTGGGTTAAATTAAAGAAAAATTTTATTTTTAATTTTAGACACTTAGAAAGCTCCGAAGTCATGGAACGGAGTTGCTCTTAAATTTAAAAAATAATTTTGAATTGCCTGACAAAGAATGTAAACAGAGAAAAATTGATGAGCTTAAGGAGTTGCTGGTAATATACCGTATTTCCTATATTAGAGCCCCATGGGGCTCTATTTTTCAACTATCCTCCAAGGTGGGGCTGTATTAAAGGGTGGGGCTCTAATTGAGGGTGGGGCTCTATTTTTCAACCCTCTTTTGAGATAGAATTCCATTTATTATATCCATTGCAACTAGAGATAAGTCGGAGGGTTTATATCGAAATAGAATTCATATTTTTCGATTTTTCAAGAAAAATCAAAACTTTTAAGCAATGAATTACAAAATAGTCACAATAGTTCAATGAGAGTAAGATTAATTATTAAATATTGGTAGATTTGGACGGATTAAAGGAAATATTAGGTTACGTAACTGAAATCGGTTCCAGAAAATTTTTGAACTTCTCTATCACTGATTAGATATCTAATAGATCTCTAATAACACGATTGCAACCCTTTATAACACGATTGCAACCCTTTATAACACGATTGCAACCCTTTATAAAATGATTAGATTTTGGAGGTAATAGGAGGAATTTAGAAGAATATAGGCGATATTAGAGTATTTTGACGGATAACGGGATTAATCCCCATTTTCATCCCTAATCCCCATGATCCCTCCTCCTCAATGATCACGAAATCATCGATATCCCCCTTTATTTCCTTAACTCTCTTAATACATCTAAAAAGTTATTCTGATATTTTTTTTCCTCCAATATTTTTTAGGTGGGGCTGTATTTGGGGTGGGGCTCTAATTGAGGGTGGGGCTCTATTTTTCAACTATCCTCCAAAGTGGGGCTGTATTAGAGGGTGGGGCTCTAACAGAGGGTGGGGCTCTAATATAGGAAATACGGTAAATTAATCCAGACCTCATACCTTTTACATTCAATATCTCGGTTCGATCAATCTAGGAGCCTGCCTCAGTTACCTTGCTGAAGACAGGCTAAATTTATACCGATAATCCTCAGAACCGTTTTGAAAAATCCCTTAATCTTATGCAACTCTAAAAGTCATGTTGAGCCCCTATGCAATACATATAGACCTCGATAATGACTTTTGCGATCATTTAACTTAATTCGTTCTAAGCAAAGTTTAACAGTCATTGTTAATGACATTTTACAAATTCTGGCATCTCTTCATTTAAACCAATTCTGATTCTAATTAAAAAATTCTGATTCTAATCTCATTAAATTCTGCTACGCATTATCCATATGATTTAAAAAATTATTTTTTACAGAACACAAAAGTGTTAAGATCACCGTTAAATTCTTCCAACTGGAACAATCAATGGATGGACACTTTTAATAAATTTTTACAAGAGCATTCAGCTATGAGAATGTTAAACGATTTTTTAACGTAAAAGAAAATTTAAACTTTTTAATTTTAAAAATTAAGGGCAAGAATGTCATTAATCACTGTTTATTATCGCGGTTTGACTTATCAACGTATAATTTATAGAGATGGTTATAATATTTGGGAATTGATGTGTAGGTTTATATTTAAGGTTTTTAGAATAGAAGTGGGCCAGGGCTTTACGCAATTTAGCGTCTGCGGATTGTGGCTGCGGATTTTTAGGATTTATGCGCAATTTTTCGGTATATTGAGGAGATATATTGAGGAGATCTTGCCCCCTGGCATTCCAAATTTTTCAAAATTTTCGCCTGCAGCGCTAATGTGATTTGGTATGGTGATTTGGTCTTCCAAAATTCTCGTATATTTGTAATATTTTTTAATATCTTTTAAGGACATAATTAAACCTGTAAAAATTATTTAAGTATAGAAAGAAAAATTTAAAGGTAAATTATCATATCATTGATAGAACCCTGGCTTAATTAACTTGACTGAGTCAACATTAAACCTCACCCACTTGACCAGAGTGTGCAACTGGCATCCCGCGACATCACTGCTACCCAATGGGCCTTGGTCGTAAAGTAGTAGATGTAAGGATACTCGATGTTGTTTTGGTGATATAGATAGAGATCATCTGTACCCAACAAAAATTTATATTTTTTAAATTTAGCCGATGTTGGAGGTGTTCTAGGACTCTACTTTGGATTAACTATTATAACTGTTTATGAACTAGCTGTGTTTTTAACGCTAGTTGATAGAGAACCGGCAGAGGCACATCGACCTCCTCCAGCAAAGCAGTTTACTCGACGATTGCTTTACAAGAAGGAAAATTTTTTGAAAAATGAAAGACTAGTTCCGACTATATTTTAAATTTTTATTAATTTGATAAATAAATTTAAAAAAAGCTATGTTTAATTTTTAAAATAAATTTTAAGGTTTCTAATAAAGTAGGCTAGTTTGGATAAATTAACATGAAAAGTTTCAGAGATAATCTAAGCTAAATCAGACTATAAATCAAAGAGTCAAATTTAATTATTATTATATTATTTAACTAATTATTAAGTAATTTTCTTTTATGATTAAGCACTTTCCTTTCAATGAATTTTACTTGTTTTTTCAGACTTAAAAATTATACAGTGGCGGAAATTTAAATAGGGAAAAATGTTTTTAATTTTATTTTCAAAAATTATTCGGCTAATCATTTATATCGGGTCATTATTTTTATATAGTTTTGCAGCTCTATCTATGGGCTATCAGATTACTATTAATCATTAAAAGAAAACTTTACACTTAAGCGGAAAAAAATCATTTATCTATCTTGACTTAAAAAGTGCGCGGAAATTTAAATAGAGAAAATTTTTATATTTAGTTTTTCTATGGAAAATCAATATAGAAAAAATTTGAAAAATTTCTGTGACCTTCTCTAGCAATATGATGAGGAATGGCAAAAAATCTAAATTCTACCTTTACTCCATCATCGAGATCTCGAGGCCCAAAATCAACGGAAAATGGGGGTGATTTGGGGCCGAAATAATTTTTTGAGACAAATCACCCCCATTTTCCGTTGATTTTAGTCCTCGAGATCTCGGAGATGGAGCTAAGTCAAAGTTCAGATTTTCTTGCCATTCCTCATCATATTGCTAGAGAAGGTCCCAGAAATTTTTTCAGATTTTTTCTAAATTAATTTTCCATAAAAAACTAAATACAAATTATTTTCCCTATTTAAATTTCCGCGCACTTTTTAAGTTGACATAGATAAATGATTTTTTCTCGCTTAAGTGAAAACTTTTCCTTTAATGATTATTAGTCATTTGATAGCTTATAAATAAAGCTACAAAACTATATAAAAGTCATGATCCTGCATTAATGATTAGCCGTATAATTTTTAAAAATAAAATTAAAAATATTTTCCCTATTTAATTTTCCGCCACTGTATGTATAGTTGTGAAATTACACCTTTGTAAATCGCCTGCCTGATTTATTGCACTTTTATACACTGACGATATCATAAATACATCAAATACAAAAAATAATTTACATAATGCCCTTATATTCATCACAATATTTCATTTTACATTTTCAATTTTAAATTAGATTTTATTATTTTTTGTTAATTTTTAAGTAAATTTTAAATTTTTTTAGGATGAAACTTGAAAGTTTTTTTATTGTTTTAATCTTTAATTGGGTGTTATGGACATTTGTCAAAACTGTTCCCATTCGAAAAAGTTTAGCTAAACATGCTGAAAATAATTACACGTCAAATGATGTTAATAAAATATTAAATGATGGGGCTGAATCGTCGGTTAATCCTCAAATTCTAAAATCTAAAGAAACGTTGAAACCAAAATTAAAAATTACTAAAAAGGATAAAGACAAAGGAGAAGGCAAAGTGTTTAACCAAATGGAATACAATAAAGAATATTATCAGAAAAATAAAGAAAAATTGAATGAAAATATGCGAAATTACCGAGAACAAAATAAAGTAAAGATAATTGAGCAAAAGCGAAACTACATTATAAAGAAGAAAGAGAAAAAAAATAAATATATGAGTATTTACTACCAAAAAAATAAGGAAAGAATACAGAAAAACAAAAAAATTTATTGCCAAAAAAATAAAGAAAAGATAAGGAATCGCAAAAAAATTTATTACCAAAATAACAAAGGAAAATTGAAAGAATACCAACGAAAATATAAACAAAGGAAGAGAAACAATCAATCTGATAATGATGAAGGAACTTCATTTGTTAATCCACAGGCTGAAGATTTTAGTAATTTAGTTAAATTAGCAAATGTTTGCGAGGAAGAATGGAATCTTTTTAATCAACGTGAGGATGAGTACAATATTGGAGAAGAAAATCAAATCGAAGTAGAAGACCCAAATAAAATGCATGGAGATGACATAACTCAAATAGATTCAAATGAGAGAAATCTCTTTGATTTGAACGAGAAACCGGAGGACGAAGAATTGGAAGATTATTAAGATATTGGATTTTATATTGGATTGCATATTGGATTTGCTACCAACTTTGCAAAGTTGGATTAAATTCTTCAAAATTTTTTCATTTTTCAAAATATCCATATGTTCCGGAAATTTAGTTTAAAGGCAATAAATACATGACAGAAAAATAATAAATTTAAATATAAGTGAATCATTGGTATTTGATCATCTGGATCAGAGTTGCAGTTTCGTTTTTTGTGATAAAACATAACAGACCCCCGCCCCTCATCGTTAGGACTCATCCTTACACTTTGGGTTACTTAGGTAGGGGGACGGGGGGAAGAAAAATCTAAAAATTTATTTTATGCATATTGTTTCGATGCCATGAATAAACAAACGGTCCAATAAATAAAACTAAACAAAATAAAAAATATGGGCATCCAAATACGAGCATAATAGTCAATACGGGCAGGTTGATAATCTGACTTTTTTAACTTTCTTCTGAGCCAAGACCAAAATGTATTGCGTTGTCTATGTTTTTCACTAAAGTCTCCCTGTGTGGTAGCTGCAAGTGGTATAAGAAGAGATTGAGGAAGCAGACCACCAATTGGCACCATTCCTAGGCTCACGAGTACAGCATTGCCTATTCCACCCTTATAAATTAAAAAATTTAATTTTATTGGATATTAATTCTGATACTTCCGAGTTCATGTTTCGTGTTCAATATGCGAGTTTAAGTTAAAATACAAATTACATATAAGGCAGTGGCCAGTCCTACATGCACCAATCTACGTGCATGGTCATTTTCAATATATCTTTGAGGAAATGGATCGGTGGGATAAGTCAACGGTCCAGGATCACGGTCACTAAAATAAGGTAACCCCAACCAATTCGCACGAACAAGGCACATTCTCCTCATCATATAAGGCAGATTTTTCTATAGCCGCTAGATCATCCCATTGCCGTTCCGATGGTGGAAGCATGAGCTCATAATCATCATTTCCAGTTCCGGCTGTCAATTTTCGCTTCCGTCTAAGATTCATTGAATCCCTCCTAGAATTTCTCAGTTTAGAATCACGATAGCAAACTATGGCGTATTCAACAAGCGCACTAAAATTTATAAAGTTCAATTTTTAATACACTGCAAAAAACAATAGACCTAAACACAAAAAGTTCACAAGCTCCCAACCATATGTCCACTACCTTAAATTTTTTTAAATCAACTTTAGAACATGCCTCTACCTTCACATAACTGACTGGAGGTAATTTTGCGTTAATTGAGGATTGCATAGTTGTTATTGTTAATAAAGTGGTTATTGCTAAGGTAACACGTCCAGCTGTTGAATGCATATCAATCCAGAAGCTGACCTTTAGAAGAAAAAATTTGGCTTGTAAAATTTGAGAGTACTCTTGCGGACAATTTTTGCGGATATCCTCTCGAAAACGATTTTGCGGATAGATTTCTTAGTTCACAAATATTAATCACCTTACCAAGCTTACACAAACAACCATAGATGTCGGAATATAAAGCTGAAGAACAAAATAAGTAAAAAGCCTAGAAAGACGTATTCTCATACGTAAACAAGCATAAGAACCTTTAAAAAAATTTTTTGTAATTTTAAAAATAATTTTTTTCAACCAGTGTTTGTGTGACTTGTGCATTCCACTCCTGTATCGATATAATCCAACTTAAAATCGGGAAGGTCCTGGCCAACACCTTGTTTTATTTGAACACTATCTGAGATAAAAATATTTCATATTTCATAAAAATTCCCTATCACAGACGGATCAAGATTTAGTTGGTCAAATTTGGTAGTTTAATAGATAGGGTAGACTTCTTTTGATTCAATTTTCAATAAGCGCAACTCGAGATAGTTAACAAAAGATAGGAATGTTTAATACTTTAGAACAACTTAATTAACAACTCAATTTAACAACAACTTAACAAAAAATAAACAGATCCTGCCCCTTAGCCATGATTTCAGTCGCAGCCCTAGTCTTATTCTTGACCTTAAGTTTAAAAATCCAAGGAGCTATGAACTGCCTTGATTTGGATTTTAAAACGTATAAGGATTATTACACACCTATCTTGTATTTTATTATATCTCCTGAAGAATCGACTGTAAGGGTCATACGTAAATCGAGCCGATATCTCGAAAAATACCAATCCCAATGTCGTGGCTGTTTTCTAGATCCGTTTTAATCGTTCTATAATTTTAAACTACCAGCTCCATTCCCAGCCCATTCATAAATTATATCCCTCGTTGTGTGTGCATAACTAATCAAATCAAAGTCACAATATTGAACATCTAGAGGGTACAATTGAAGATACATTGGACAAGAACAAACTAAAGAAAGTCTGGAACTGTACAAAACGCTTCCATTTGGATATATTCTCACTAGCATATTCTCTGTATCTATCTGTTTAAATTGGAAAAATAACTGAGAATATTTTTGATTTTTAGTCTAATTTTTATGTAGTTTTAAAGACAATCTAGTCAGCTTTAGTCCTGTTTATCAGGTTCTGTATTATAATGCATAGAATTATAGATGGAAAAGCATCGATGTAGAAGCGAGATGAATAAGTTAAACTCGAAGAGATGGCTAATTTTATTCATTTATGTAGAATAACCTTTTTAGCCACACCCTAATTATAACACTTCTATTAATTATTCTTTCAGCCGGTCTTAGAAGAAATAATTACCCATGATAATTACTAACGTGAATACGGTTTTGTTGAATCCTTCCGAATTTCAGGGATAAAAATCTTATATAACCCATAAAATTTGAAAGGATAGACGTCTTATCCTCGTTCCAAATATTATCAACTTGTTTATCATAGATTCTAAAGCTGGTTTAAAAGATGTAACATAAATAATATTTATGTATATTATGTATATGTTATACGAAAGGCGGCTAAAAAATTTTCCATACATACCATATGTCGATGCGCTGATTTTTCCGTAGGAAAAAAAGTATCAGGAAACCAAATACGAGCCTTCACGTGCGGAACAACCAAAAACGGGGGTAGAGGTCTTGGAGGCGTAAAAACATGATTGAGGTAATTCAATCGGTTATCTAGCCATTGTTCTCTAAATGTTATTTGTATTGTATATTCCATATTGACAACGTCTATTTTGCTAAGCATTCTGACTAGTATGTTGACACGTACACGAACAGCTTTTAAAAAAATCATTCTTGAATTTAGTCTAAATTGTTACGTTTATGGAGGGGTTATTAAGGAACTGAGACTAAATTTCTATTCAAATAACAGACTTTGATCCTTAACCATATAATAAGCCTCCTTCTGCTAAAGGTTGTTAGTACTCCCTAATTTTGGCAAAAAACTAATTTACTTAAAAATAAATTTAAAATTTAAAGAAGACTTTTATTTCGTGTAATTTCGTGTATTTCGCAATAATTTCGATAATTTCGTAACTTTATTAGACTTCCTAATTTCGTTGGAATAGGACAATCTTTTATCAAAAATTCCAAAATTACTTTCAAAAAAAAATAATTTCTCTCACCAGTTTCATTTGAATCCAACTCTACCGGCGGCCTAATCCTAGAAAGATCATAATTTTTTAACAATTCATCCAAAATTTCGTGATGGTCTTCCCTTCCTGTTAAGCTCCAAATTGGTGTTGTTAATGCTTTGTTTTGTTTGTTATTTATTGTTGAATTTGTTGAATTTAATATTTGTCCATTTAAAGGGATTAGTAGACAGAATAAAATTAATTTATTTTTAATTAGGTTTATCTTGAGCATTTTTCTAAAAGTTTAGTGAATGGACATCAATAAAGCTTATTGTTAGTTTACTAAACTCCCACGTTAATGCCAGATTTTTTTAAAAAGATGAGACACACGGTTGAGCCTTGACCCTCCCATATACGACACTTTCACAGTCGAGTCGATATAAGGACCCAGCTCCGAATTCCGAATATCCGGATTTTTCGAATCCGTATACCTGATATAAAAAACATATCTTAAATTCAGGGTATATTAGTTGTATTTAGACCGACATTGTTTTAAAATTATGTACATATCAGTGTTGCCGCGGGTAAAAAAATCTTCGGGTACGGGTATCGGGTTGGAGCGTTTAGCATTGACCCTCTCTTAAACGACATTTTCACAGAAGTGTCGATATAAGGACCCAGCTCCGAAATCCGATCCAATAATTTCCGAATATCTAGGTTTTTCGGATCCTGATACCTGATCTGCTAACCTTAGCCTACCTGATTGAGTAAAAAACATATCTTAAATTGAGGATATACATATTAGGTGTATTTTAAATTTAGACCGACTTTGTTTTAAAATTATGTATATTTAGTAGAGAGGACTTTTATTGACATTTTATTTTATTAAAAAAAGCAATTTATTAAATAGAAAGAGCAACACATTTAAAATTTAGTGGAATTAACCCCTTGCCTCTCGGAAGTCATTTTATTAAAGCGACCAAAATATTCATCAGAAATTAGCAAAAAATTGTGAAGGGATTAAGGAACAGATTTCGATTTATGCGAAACAAAACAAAAAGGATTAAATTACCATTCACGAAACTAAACGAAATTTCGTCTTTTCGTTTCGAAAGTGGGCAATTTTAGTATTTATTAAATTTATATTTTCCCGATAAATTATTCTAAACGAATAAATGTCCTCTTACGTTTAATTATCCATTCATTGTTATAGAAAGGTTGGAAAAAAAATAATTATACATTGGGTAAATTATTAGAGCAAATATCCGAGAAAATATCCGAGAAAATTTATTTTTTAACAAAAAATTTTATTTTCCCAAACATTTATTGAATGCTAATGAGTTGGCGCTGGTTTAACTTTAAAAACCACTCTAAATAAAAAAATAACAAAACACTTGTTTGGGATTTGTTTGCACATCCTTCTCTTAGCTTTAAGCGTTTAATTTTAAAAAAAAGGACGTGAAAAAATGAAAAAGAGGAAGGCAAAAATGCTAATAAAGCTGTATATTTGTGGTAAAATTTAAAAGGACAATTAAATTTCGTTTTTAAAGTATTCCGTCTAAAAATGATAAATGAAAATGAAGGTATAAAGTAAGATTGAGGGTACAGTTACTCGAAGAATAGAGACGCTCCTCGAATAATTCTCCTAGAATTACTACTCTATCTCGTCGAACACATCTAGATTGCCAAATTTAAAAATCTTAGATAAAAGCTAGAGGTACATTTTAGGGGTATGCCTAAACAAATTTCATAAAGAGAAACGCGAAGGTCCAAAAAACGCGAAAGGCGAAACTGGAACACCGCTTGGCATATCTAAAATTATATGTATAGAACAAAGGAATTCTGACTTTCTGATAAGGGTTCGACATTTGTGAACTAGCTCTTTAGGCTTTCCATACAGATAGAGGATTGGGTACTAGACATGGGCAACTAAATTTTTGTTCCAGTTTCAAAACTGGTTTAGAAAGTGTGAAATGAATTTGGAAATTAAAAAAAAATTTTTATTCCTCTTAAAAAAATAAAAAAATTTACATTAGCGCAATATTAATATAAAAAGTGTCATAAAAACTTTATTCACATACATGTAATAGAGAGGAAAAGCTGTCAATTTCACTCATTTTTATTCTGTCACAATTTAATTAAATAGAAATTTTGTTAAAAATGAAACTTCACCAAAATTTCAATAGGAAACAATAACAAATAAAATGGAAAATTTTTGGTGAATTAGTAATTATGAACAGAGTCTATACAATTTATAATTTATATTTAAGAAGGTTATTAGTAGGCTAATTTAAGTTTTAACATATTTGCGGACAAACTTTTGCGGACAATTCTTCGATGACAATTTTGCGGATAATTTTTGCGGACACAGTTTCTTCCCCCAACAACAAAGAGAAAAATAAATATAAAAATTTAATACCCAGATTAATGTCAAATTTATGTATTTATCCTATTTAAAAAGTGAAAAGCTTAAAAATACAAACGTATCAATTTAAATATAAACCAGAAAATATTTAGTATATTTTTGGAAGAATTTTGTCTACTAAATATTTATTTAGGATAATCTTTTTTTGCTACATACATAAAATTTGCAACATTTTCTGACTAAAATTTTTAAATAAATTGCTTTTTACATATTATATTAGTATAATATTACAAGTGCTTATAATTTCTACTAAATTTCGAGATTTTTTTCGAAATTTATTGATTCCGAAATTTCGATATTTCACTTTTAGAAATTAAATTTTTACAGAATTTTTATCACTAATATAAGAAAAATCTACATTTTGCTTATTTTTTATAACTAATATTTTTGAAGATTTAGAAATAGGGTTGCCAGCTTGCTCGACCCGAAACTCGAAAGATCTAGCGAGCCGAGGCTTTTCTGCTCGAAAGGCTCGAAAACGAACCGAATCGGAAAAACGCAGCTTGAAAAATGTTCACCGAACGTCGGCTCGAACCGAAAACGGTAATCCTACTTCGAAATTTTTGGAATTGGAAATATCATTTTATATATTTCGATTTTAAATTTTAATTTTTTAAATTCCATATTTACAATTTTAAAACTCAAAAATATCCAAATTGAGAAAAAATACTTTTTTTTATTTTTAATTTTATTTATTTTCCATAAAAGTTCAGTCTCGAAAACTTGTTTTTAAAAAATAATTCTTCTTCTAGTAGAACACTTTCTACTCTTTTTATTTTCCTGAAAATTTCCCTCTCTGGCCCATCAACTTGTTTTTTTTATTTTCTATCAATTTTCATTTATTTTTATTATGGCCTATTTCTTTGTTAAAAAATTCCAAAAATTGTTTAAAAAATTTTCTAATTTTTATTTAAATTTAATTAAATTAATTTAATCAAAAATAATTAAATATTCCCCTCATTTTAGCCTTTAATTTATGGAAGAAATTAATAAAAACAGGAAAAACGAAAGAAGAGTAGTTGAATGCTTTGATACATCACATAATGTAGTGTAAATAATAATCATTACCGAAAATTTTCAAGTTTAAAGGTCTTAAGTATCTATCACAGATAGTAGATAAATCTAGGCTCATTCTCGAGTAGAAGGGCTCTTCAAAAATAGTTTTGTTTTCCCAAATTTTCACGATAAAGATTTAGTCTAGGACCAAAAATTTTGAAATCCAATAACTAGAGTTAGCCGAAATCGGGATTCCAACACAAAATTGTTATCGGTATTTACCTTTCGGTATCGGTATCAGAAAAATCGGTATCGGGATTTCAAAAATCGGTCTTGATCCCGATACCGGCCAACTCTATCAATAACTTTACTCTAAGAACCAAACCCAAAATTTAAGGGCAGCCTTTATGCTTGATCGAGATTCAAGATCAATATCTCAAATAAGAGCTTTTGAACGGTCACAAAAACCCACTTAACGAAGATTTTAAAATTTTATAACTCAAGAAATATTTTTAAAAAAATAAAAATTAATTTATTTTTCAAGTCATGTCCTTCAAAACAACAAACAAAAAACAACCTCTCAATTAATTCCCCCCACATACACAAACGTCGCCCTCAATTATTACATACTTTCGACGGAATTTTACAACAATTATTTTCACTATATACTCGCCATTTACTTGTTGATTTTTACCCTTTATTTATTTTATTTCCAATTTTATTAACGATATTTTTGGGTTTTGGATTTATTTGGATAGAACAATTGACTATTTTGGATGCTAAACTGTTATATACACCTAAAAGTGCTTTTAGTTGGAAAGAGGAAGAAATATTTTCGAAGGCAAAAATTTTTTGAAAATTTTAAAGAAATATTAGGGGCGGAAAAATTAGGAAATTTAAAGATTTGAGTGCTAAGAAATTGTCAAACCACCTAGATTTTTTCTAATTTTCTAGGTTCTGGTTTTCCGATTAATCTTAACTTTTTATAAGATTTCTTGTTAGAGATGTTTAATTTAGACATGCTCTTTCTAGATAATACCCCTTTCCTGACTTTTATCCAAATAATGTATTTTGGTATCCTTATCCTGATATTTACGGTTGATACAGGTGGATATCTGCAGGCGTTTTGGTAATAGTTCGGTTCGTACCCCCCCTCCTTTTTCCGTCCTAAAATTATTAAAAAATGGTCAGTCAGTCTTAGCTTGTAAAATTCGTCGAGATGTTTCGAAAGACACCAAAATCAAACCCAAGTCTTAACTTTGGGCCGAGATACAGACAAAAACCCTGCGACAAAAACTACAATAGGATTACTTTATGCCATAACTTTGTCAAATCTTGTTCAATTATGTTGATTTTGATGTCATTCAAATCAGCTCGACAAGCTCTTTCGAATGAGGTATCATTTGTTTAATCGAATTTTTAGCCCAAAAAATGAGCTTGGTCCACCCTTCGATTTTTCAATTTTCGGAGGTCTATATCTCGGGCCAAAGATAAGGCCTGTGGTTGATTTTGGTGTCATTCGACACAGCTATACGAGTTTTATAAACTAGACTCACTGACCATTTTTTAATACTTTTAGGAAGGAAAAAAAGGGGGGGTACGAACCGAACTATTACCGGCGTTTTTAAGTTATCTGTATCCATGCCGTATCAAGTCTGCTTTACCCCTTTCCTGAGCCCTTTTCCTAATTTTTTCTAATCTTGGCACCGCCTCCGAAGCAGAGCTGCGTTGAAACAAAAAAATCTTCGAAAATCGAAATTTCGATGCAGCTCTGTTTCGAAGCTTAATGTGTGTTCGCAAATATCCACAAATTACAACAAAAATTTTTTAAGAGAAGAGACTTTTGAAATTTAAGCTCTGGCCTATTCGCCCTAACGAATTCGTCCCCGAACGTACCTTTCAATGGGAACGATTTGTCTATTTAATAATTAATGGAAGAGAAAAACAGGGAGGAATATTGCCAAATATACTTGAGGAGGATTATCTGGAACAAATTGAATTTTTAGAAAATGATTTACCTAGCAGGGTTGTTATTAAATTATTGAATGGATGGAAGGACGAATTATTAATTAATAAACAAAATATTAATGGGATAAGTATGGAAGGATTTGGAAAGGATGGATTGCTACGTTTTGAGGTACATAGGTCAACAGAGCCCTGATTATTTTAACTTATTGACCCAACTTGTATTGGATAAAGGAATCTCCAGTTACTTTCCCTCATGTCCTCATAAGGGATACAACCCTAGGTACTGCAAGGCAAATGTACAGGAGAGCTATAACTTTTTTTCGATGCATTTAGACGAGCTGAATCGAACTCTATCAGGGTATCCCGAATTCAAATATTCTGAACGAAGTTATAGCTGTGATTTACCTTGGGATGCTCCCTCCGCAAATGGAATACAATAAAGGATTTGGAGTAGTTAGCGAAGATTTATTTCCGGAGCTTTAAAAAGTCCGCTTTACGCTTTGCGGACAACTATTTTTTTAAGATGAAAGAATGTTGGGAAAAATTTAAAAAATTAGAGTCTTCCCATCATTTTTGATAACCCTTTTTAAAGGATTTATGCCTAAATTGGAATGGGATTTGTTCTAGACAAACAGGAATTATTCAGCTTCTTAAAAAAAGACACGAATTACAATCTCAAGGAATTGATGTTACCTTCCCTAGAGCAAATACTCGAGGAAATCCAATTTATTTGGCATTCAATATTGGAGGTGTTAGTACTTTTGCGCCTATAAACGATACAATTAAGGCGAGTTTACTATTTTATTATATTCTAGGGACAAAAATGTCTACCTAACTCCTTGTTAGACTTTGTGTTTCAAAATAAATCTTAGTTCATTTATAGTCAGTCAAAGGAATGCGTCTTTGGTACTTTCTCCGATCAGATACACCTCAATTTGATAAAATGTCCAAAGCTTGGGAAGACGCAGCCGAGCAATTTGTCAAAAAGGAGTGGTCAGATAATGAATTAATTGAGGCATTTAAGTATTTTTATTGTTTAATTGAAGCATTTAAAGGTCAATGTAAAACATTCACGTAGCTACGATAATGGATTGACAAGAAATGCTAATAGGTATCTAAGGGGTGAAAGGGAAATATCAGTTTAGTTAAGAGACTATAACTTTGGAGCCCATAAACCTATTTCGTTAATTTTGGTGATTTTTGATAGAGGAGAAAATTATCTATAAAATAAGCTTTAAATCAAAATTTTTGGTTAAATTAACATAAAGTTTTAGTCAAAAAACTGATATAGTTTTTACGCGAAGAATGATATTTTTGAAGGTTTGATACCAAAAACTTGCCTTATTTTTTGAAAATTTACTTTAAGTGATTTTTGTAGCCAATTTTCATCCTCTTTTAAATGATACTGACAATAGGCCTCGAAATTGGGTTTGAATTCGTTAGGTTATAAAGCCTAAAATCTATGGGGTTCTAAAATTTTAATTACCATTTTTCCTCAAAATCAGACTAAAACCTTATTTTACCGTCACCGTAATGGTTCTAATCGCCTTTACTACATTTTATGCTTTACGGTGGAAGATCAATAGCCGATCAAGTAAACATCTTTCGATGAGTATTTAAAATTTTTTTCATAAGTTTCTATTGACTGGCTTCGTTCTAAACCTTTGCTAGCCCTTGGAGGAGTCCTCTCAACAACTATGGCTATAATAAGTGGAATAGGTTTATTGTTGTGGTGTGGGGCATTTTTTGCTGAAATTACTCTTGTTGCTCCTTTCCTAGTGCTTTGTATGTTTTTTGGAATTTTCTGTTAATTTAAATAATATGAGTGATAATATGAGTAACACAAAGCTGATATTAAATTTTATAATGTAGTATATCAGGGCTCCGATCGACAAAATGCCACTCAAAAGTATCAAAATCTTGTAAAAAAAGTACATAGGGAGAAAATTTGCAAATAAAAAGTACACTCAAAATTAAATTTGAAAATATTTATTCGTGATCAAATCTTTTATATTTCTCTCCTAAATTAATCTTTTCTAATAATTTCTTGTTTCAACTGAGCATTTTGTGCATTTCATTGCATGACATGTCAAAATTTGCTGTCACATGAAGCAAAGCTCTGACAGTCTTAACCTCAAGCGAGTTTCTTTCCTTCGTCCATTGAATGTTTGCCATTGAGAAGCGCCGCAGGCGAAAATTTTTTGAAATTTGGAGCCTAAGAAGCCAGATTTCTTCTTTTTCAGCGCCGCAGGCGAAAATTTTGAGAATTTTGGAGGTCCTTAAGCCAGATTTCTTCCATTTTTTGCGCCGCAGGCGAAAATTTTGAGAATTTTGGAGGTCCTTAAGCCAGATTTCTTCGTTTTTTCAAAAATGTTGATAAAAAAGTACATACTTTCAAAAAAGTACAAATTCAATTTCGGAAGTACGAAGGTCGATAAAAAAGTACAATACTTTTAAAAAAGTACGAATCGGAGCCCTGTAGTATATTATATAAATTCGGTTACTGTAAGAGCGATAAAAATGGCCAAAATAAAAGACAAAACCATGCTTAATTGTTCACTCCTCCTTTATCCAGTTTATGTGTACAATCGCACCTTTATACGCCAAATCAACCTTTATACGACCTATTAAAAGTTTATGTGTCGCATAACTTTTTTAAATACATGTTTTATGTACCCGGTTCTGCAATATAAAATCCAATATAAAATCCATGTGAATAGAAGGCTCTAACCACCCAGAGTTTTGATACACACGCATATTACAAGACCTTAGGTCTTATTCTCCGAACAACGTGGCCAAGAAAAACTTGCGCCTTGCGACATATTATTCTTTACTGAGGGATTCTCCTCAGAGTATGATAGTTTAATTTATGGGTGTGCGCACAACCCACGTTCCAAAAATTGCTCACTTTTTATCAGTAACATAAGTTACTTTTCTGATTTTAGAGCTAAATAAATACAATAAATATTTGAATTTTTGCATATTAAGTAAACATTTTAATTTTTATTTATTCCACAGCTATTGGTGTTGATGATATGTTTATTGTAGTAGCTGCTTGGCACAATACAGAAAATAAATTTCCAGGCAATTCAAAACCTTTAAAAAATTTCCAAAAAATTTTCTTAAGGAAAAGACTCAACTTCTTTAAAAGAAAGAATGGTTGAGGCAATGTCAGAATCCTCTGTTGCTATTTTTATTACCTCCATAACTGATGTTATTTCCTTTGCTGTGGGTTCAACAACTGATATTCTGGCAGTCAGGGGATTTTGTATGATGACTTCTGCCTGTATGCTCTTTACGTTTATTTATCAGGTGGATTTTTTGAATCAAATTTAAGGTGGTAGCCTTTAAATTTAAATAAACCAGCGCGGTACCTCTGTCCCACGATAGTCACATTCTGTCAAATGATTTTTTCGCTTAAGAACCGTACTTATGAAAATAGATAATATTAGTTTCAATTGATCGACACCGGTTCTGAAGATTAGGTGACTGAAGGAGATAACAAGGAAAAGTCTAATCCGAAAATAAAAATAGTCAAAAATAGAAATTGGAGTTCCAAACAACCTCTGCTTAACATATATTGGCGAATAGGGTTGTCGGTTTCAAACCGAACCCGATCAGCCGAAGATTATCGTTTCGGTTAACCGAAGGCCGAAAACCGAATAATACTTAATAATTATTAATAAATCTTTAATAATACCCCCCGCCCCCATCCGACTTGAGATTATGGGACGTGGTTTTACACACAAAACTATTTCAAAATTTAGATAACATTCTTTGCCAGTCTGATGGTAATTAGTGCAAAATTGCAAATGAATGAACGTAATGCTTGTTGTCCTTGTATAAGGGTTAGGGAGGATGATGAGGAGAGTAAAAAGACATCCAAATCCGTACAAGAAACAAAAATGGAGGAAGAAAAAGGTGAATAAAAGGAAATAAATTTCCAAAAAAATTTTTTCCAAAAATTTAGAAGCCGATGAAGGTATAGGAGAAGAAGTCGTTGAATCCGGCGGTTTAAATAAATTAAATAATAAATTAAATATAATAACATCTTCTGCTTCATTTTCTTCTGAATTTTCAATTTCTACAAGTCAATCGGTTGAAAATAAAATTAATAATACTAAATCAAAAAATACGCCAATGTGCAATTTCTTTAGGTAAATTTCCTGTTTAATTATTTACAAATTCCTTTAATTACAATAAAACATGGCCTTATACATACATACAAATTATTAGGCAAATTTATTTATAAACTGACATTTTTTCTAGCCGCATAAGCCTAAATTTTATAGGGATTAGTGCTAAATCCCCGTGTATACATATTAAAATTCTCCCTAGACAACAGTTTATTGTAAAGTGATCAAGCATTTTATTATGCAGTTTCTACGCTCACCTCTGTCCCAACTCCCCAATCGTCGACAATCCTCATGATCACTGAAATAATTCTTCGCGACGGGTCAGGGGCAACCTCAATTCATAGTTTGGTTAGCCATTGGATGGAAGGTTCTTCCATTCTAGTCTTCCACTAATTTGGTTTTTCCGTTTTAGATAACTCATATTATAAGTTGACTTTTTTCTCCCTCGAGAGGGGGGGGAGGGAGGGATCATTTAAAAAATTTATTTTTAAAGAAATTTTTATGTGGACTTTATTTTGGATAAAAGAACCAAATTTGCCGTAATTATAATATTTTTAATTTATTTGGTTTTGTCTGTTTATGGAATTGCTACAATGCAACAGGGATTGGATTATGAAAAATTGTTGATTAAATCTGATCCACTGGTTTGATTTAAGATAATTTAGGGTCTAGTTTAGAAACCTATTAAAATCTAAAAGTCTGCCTACTTCAATTTTATAAATCTATCAGAATCATTTGAAAATAAAAACGTTTGCTTAACTCAAACGGTTAGGTTTAAATAGACCAACAAGAACCTTCATTATCGTAGGCGAAACTCGTTATCGGCAATTTAATTCAACTCGAAACTTACTAGGATTCCTCGGAACCTACTTCTAATCTAATACAAATTGACAATCCTAGCTAGGCATGGTCATGGATACGGATATGAATACAGATAATATAAAAATGCCTGCGGATATCCGCCTGTATCGTCTGTATCCGCCGTAAATATGCGGATACGGATACCAAGATCAGTATCCGTGAGCATGTCTGGATTCTAACTTATAGTCTCTTAATTAATTAATCAAATGACTTATTTATTCAAGATGCGTACAATGAAAATGGAAATTGATCTCTTTCACGGCGGCGATCAGATAGAAATTGCAATAGTTCGGGCACCAAATATGAGCTTAAAAATAGAGAGGGAACGAATAAATAAATTAGTTGAAGAATTCGAAAATATTCCTTATTGTATAGGCAAAAATGGGACAGAATTTTGGTTGAGAGAATATATTAAATATGCCGATCAGACCGGGTCTTTTTTAATTGAAAATGATAATTGGTCGTGGAATAGGGGTGTTTATGAATGGTCGAGACTGTTTGCTTTTTATAAGTTGTGGTAAGTTTGGATAATTTCAAAATTTTATTGGCTCTACTCCAGTTTATGCGTCCAATCGACTTTTATGCGTCCAATGAAAGTTTATGCGTCCAATAAAAAGAAAATTAGATTTTTCTTGGTATTGTAAGGTTGGGGTATGGCTCCAAACCATTTCTTCATGTTCGGGACCTATGCCCACTGGGTCTGGGACCGTTCCTTACCCGACCCCTCGAAATCTCTGAAAGTTATAATCGTGGTGGTTGGTCTTATTAACAACCTTTCATCGGAGATCTCGCGGAACCTACAACGAGAGCCTTAACCTTAGAACATTCGACCCGAAATTCTCGACCCGAATGTTGGGGCCTAACCTTAGTTAACAGTCATTGAATATTTTTTTTGAAGAATAACTTATGTTAGTCAAAATTGATAAATGAATATACAGGGTGCCTCAAAAGTCTTTGCCCGCATATTTTTTAGCATAACTTTATTAAGACTTAATCAAATAATATCAAAATGCAATCAAATTATAGAGAATTAAATGGAGAACAAAATAAATCAGGATTTTTCGAAATACCTTCATTTAGATTTAAGATAGAGGCGCAAACGCAAACAAAAATTTTTGCAAAATTGCCGCACCTCCTTGGTTCACCTTTTCAGATGCTAAAATTTTTATGAAAGAGACATGTGCGAAGTGCAAAAATGACTGATATTGGGCCTCAAAATCTCCTCTTTCTTATCCAGTTGTTAAGGATTTCCAAAACCCTTCCCTCGAAATGATATGGACTGTTATTTGCAAAACGATCAAAATTCGTTGATTTTTATGAATCCTTGGGTCAAAATAAATAAATACTTTGATCTACTCGAAATCCTTCAGTATGTTTTAAAGCACTGGGTCTGGGAAAACTTTTGGTATAAGGACTGGATCTATAAGTAGAATTCATCCCCTGATTATAAGGCTAAAGTGATGCAAGGTTGTCTTGTTGCCAATTTACTTGGTTTTAGTGTGCCTCAAAAATGGCTACCGTACACACCGGGTTTGAATCCGTGGATTTATCTTTTTGGTCATTTTTGGAGGCAACATTCTTTGCTTAATAACTCCAAAGTTTGGAGTCACTCCAACAATCACTCGTTCAGAAATGGGAAAAAATTACACCATAATAGGTGCGGCAATTTTGCAAAAATTTTTGCTTGCGTCTGCGCCTCTATCTTAAAGCCAAAGGGAGGTATTTCGAAAAATCCTAATATATTTTGTTCTCCATTTAATTCTCTATTATTTGATTGTATTTTTATATTATTTGATTAAGTTTTAATAAAGTTATGATAAAAAATGTGCAGGCAAAGACTTTTGAGTCACCCTGTATAACCATTTCTTATAAACAATTATATAAAATTATAAAAAACTTATTTTAAGGTCACAAGATTTTGTTTGGGCAAATGATCAAATCACACCTACAGAGAATTGGGATCCTCTTGAAATGAGTTCTTTTCGGTATTTTGAAAATCAAAAATGTAAACATTATTTTGAAAGTTTTCGAATCGGAGTTACTAATTTCAACAATGCCAATGACCTTGTTCTTGTTACTCAAATGTTGAGGGAAGTAGCCTCAAAGCATAAGGACCTTCAAGTTTATACTTTTCAACATGGAAGGGCTATTGCTGATCAAGTAAAAATTAACTTATTACTCTTTGCTTTCCTCTCACTCTTTGCGTTCTGAATTTTGTAAAAATTATAAATTACAGTTGAACGTTCTTCTTCCTTTCACACTTCGTAATGATTTAATAGCTATGGCATGTATGGTTGTTATTTCTCTCCTTTGTATTCCTAATCCAATTTGCACAATTTGGATTATGTTAGCTATGTTCAGTATTGAAATAGGTACAAATAATTTTTATTTGTTATCAATTAATTAACCTTAAAATGATTAATTCGTCATCAATTATTATAATTGGTATTAAAACAATCAATGGTATTAAAACAATAATTTACTTTTTTTTCAAATAGTACACATTGGTAGAATAAGCTTCAATAATAAAATCTATATATCAATGTTGTGTATCAGGGCTGGGCTTATTTTGCACTTTCGCGTTTCGCATCTTTCGCATTCTCGCATTTTTAGCGCGAAAAGTTTCGCAGTTCGCTTTTCATTTTTAGATTTCGCCCAGCCCTGTTGTGTATGTATGGATCAGGAATCTAACAGACATAAAAGTGAAATTCAGTATTTCGTGAAATCGGTCTCCAGATCTTTGGGATTGTTGTTTAAAAACGGTCAAGGAAGGACTTAACTCTAAACATTAAGTACATAGAGGCAATTTAGACAAAAGCATATTTAAAATAGATTAGACATGGATATACCTTTGGATTTGAAGGATTAAGAAGATTTGAGAGATTAATTTCCCCATTAAATGTTCTTAAAAATTAATTGTTTTCCTATCCATTTAGGTGTTATAGGCTTCCTCTCATTTTGGAATGTCAAACTCGACCCGATCTCAATGATAACTCTAATCCTTGCAATCGGCTTTTCAATAGAATTCAGTGCGCATGTAACCTATGGATTTGTTAGCGGCCCTGCTGATTTAAACCCACGTGAACGTTGTATTGATACTCTAGAAAAATTGGCTTGGCCGAGTGAGTTTGTTGATATTTTTGGGATTAAAAACCAATTAGCTTGGATATTGTTAAAGATTGAGCTTCATATTAAAATTTTCCTATTAATATCCTTCAATAATGATATCCTTCAAAATGGATATTGACAATAGGGTTTGAGGCCCGATCCGGCCCAGTCCGAATTATCTAGTCGGGCATTGAATTTTGGCGCTAAATAGACTTGATTGGGCCGGCCCGATAAAAATGACTTGAAGGTAGGCCCGACTCGAAACGAAGGTCTGAAATTTTTTACAAATAATTGTAAAAAAATATATAAATTAGATATTTGTAAGCCTGAAATTTTTTTAAAAATATTTTTCTAGTGGTTCACGGCTCTATTTCTACGATTCTTGGTGTTCTAGTACTAGCTTTCATTGATTCCTATATGGTATAGGTTTAAGTATTATGATTTAAAAAAATTTTCTTCCAGGTCAGAGTCTTCTTCAAAACAATATTTCTCGTTTTGGGTAATTTTAGAAAAAGAAAATTTTTTAATCCAAAAATATTTCAAGTTATCGGTGTGTTCCACGCCCTCGTTATTTTGCCTATACTTTTGCATGATACTGTCCCCTATGGAGAACAGCTTGCTTCTAAAATATATGAAAATAAACAGAAAATTAAAAATTCTTCTAATGGAGGGGAAATTGAACGGAAAATTAGAAATTTACAAATTGTTAGAGTTACTTAATTTGAAAATTTTATCTTTTTATTAAATTGGTTCTTGTAAATTTTTAGTTTTTGATTGGTAAAGTAAATATAATTATGTTATACTTTTTTGAAAAAAATCATAAAAATTGTTCATCAACTTAAATGTTCTGATTGGATCAAAAGGTGTGGATTTGGGTGTTGAGCCATTATTCATTATTATTACTTTGTGTTCTATTAAAATATTGAAATCAATTACATTTGTAAGTTTAAGAGAGTAGCATTAAATTTTATTTATGTAAATAAATATCACACCTAATTAGTTTATATTTTATTTTGTAAAAAAAGTAAATTTTACATATCAATACTTAAAAATTACCGTAAATACTCTAATTGAAGCCCTGGGCTTATTTTTTTCAATGGGTCAGCTCTCTCCTCAGTCTCTTTTCAATCTCTCTCTCTCCTCATTTTTTCAATCTCCTCATTCTTCGCATCAGAGTTGCGTCGTAATTGAAAATTTTTTTTCGTAATCGTAATTCGTAATTCGTAATTTTAAAAAAATTTTCGTAATCGTAATTCGTAATTTAAAAATTTTTTTCGTAATCGTAATTCGTAATTCGTAACTGAAAAAATGCCGTAATTCGTAATTCGTAATCGTAATTCGTAATTTTTCAAAAATATTTAAATTAATTTTAAAAATCAACTATCTATTAATAATTGCTGCTTCTCCCATTAATCTCTCCAAGTCTTCTTATTTCTCTGATATTATTTAAATCCCAATTAATTCCCTGATATCCCTCTTAATCCTAATAATCCTCCGATATTTCTTTAATCAATCATGAGGAATCATCGTCCCAGATTAAGTTTGATATCATGTCAAATCATTCTCACTTAATCCCGAGCCAACACACTTATATTTTCAGCGCCGCAGGCGAAAAATTTTTAGAAAATTCATGGCTAGATTAAAAATTTTTAATTTTTTTCAATTTTAAGATATTAAAAATATAAATTTAAAAACCTAAAATCAAAATCAAATTTAAAAACATTTATTTTTGAAAAAATAGGTTGTCTAAATTTTATTTCCCACACTTGGATTCGAACCAAACACCACAAAATATTAAATGAGTGAAGCTTGACTCTTAACCCACTCAACCACCGATTAACACAACTAAGAAAAGAGAAAAATAAATATTTCTTCTCCTTTTTATTCTAAAATTTTTTGGCAAAATTATTTTCGTAATTCGTAATTTTTCCCTATATTTTCGTAATCGTAATTCGTAATTCGTAATTTAAAAAATTTTTTCGTAATCGTAATTCGTAATTCGTAACTGAAAAAACGCCGTAATTCGTAATTCGTAATCGTAATTCGTAATTACGACGCAACCCTGCTTCGCATCTCTCCTCATCTCTCTCCCACCCGTATTAGATGTGGACTTCTATAAGAGGTGGGCTTCAATTAGATTATTCACGGTAGTTTATTTTTTTATATTTAATACTTTTCCTGAATTTTTTAATTTTATTTAACTTCGTGTCATAAATAATTGGAATCCAATTGTAAGGGAAATTCTCAATTGAAAGCAGTGAATGACTGAAATCCGCATCGAAGAATACTTTGGCATTTTCTTTTTTTAATAAATATCCAATCCACCATCCATATGTTGATGACGAAGCTGTCAACAAAAGAGAATTGCAAATTGTGATGGCAAAACACATATCATGCCCTCTATTCATTGGTTCAGGAATATAAATCTTTTTACCCTGTAAATTTGTTGAAAAAATAATTTTGGTTTTAGGAAATGCATGGTGAATTTAGGCTGTTGAGCCCGTACGTTTGCGTGCCCCTTGTATTTAATTCAGTTGATATAGGTATCTCAACTCCATTGGTTTGAGATTTCTGATATCTCTATAAGGAATATAGAGGGGAAGTGAGTAAGAGTGCATTGGAGATTAGCAGAGATATTGGGGGATTTTTGGGAGTAAGATACTTATAATAGGTCCATATATGTCTACTGTAGTGTACCGTGACTTTAGGCTTAACCTAAGTGTCAGTTTTTGTTTCGTAGCAAAACAAATAAGACAAATACTTAATAAATTATTAAGAGTATCTTTAACCTTATTTGTTATGTTCAATTTGTATAAAAATTGCTTATCCTCACCAAGTAAAACAATAGAACTTCCAAATTTTTTATGCTAAATAATATTAGTAATTTTGCTGTTTGATTATTTATAAAAATTAAGTTGCTAAAAAATATTTAAGTAAATTTACCCTTAGCTCATTTTTTAGTATATATTCTACGCCTTTCTCTGTAAATATGACATCAGAAGCCTTGTGCCATTCCTTCCATTTAGCCTTTGTAAAATCACCACGGCGCGTATAAACACAAAATTTATGTGATTTATCGCTTCTGTAATTAGGTATATTTTTTAATCAACAATTAAGTATCTTATAAACTATAAACTCAATTAGAGGAAGGGTATAATTTCATACACACTCATATATATAATAAATCAGTGATGCTAAAGAATATTATCAACCCAGGCGAAAATGTTTGTAATTTAGTCTTGGTTTTATGTTTCTGTGAGGGAAAATCTTCATAGGGCCAGAATTAATTTCCTAAAAAGGGTTGTTATTAGATGTGTAAATCTGCTGATGAGGGGAAAAGTTCTGCAGAAACGAAAAAAGGCCAGTAGCTCAGACTGTTTTGAAAGCGGTTTTTAGGCCTAACATAGGTGCGTTGTTATCAAGGTTTATGCCTGATTGATAACAATATAAACTATAAGGAGAAAGTGTCTAATAATATGGGGTAAATGTAGCCTAGAAAAGGCAAAATGATGCTAGATGAATTAAAACAAACCTAAATAAACGATAAATAAAATTATCCACGTTCATTCTAATATTATCAGAAAATCTAAATAACTCTCTAAGTTCATTATTAATATTTAATAAATATTTTGGAGATTGTGGTGGTGGTGAAATAATTAAATATTTTGCTGTATATTTCTCCAAAATTCTGCAATTTTCATATCAAATATATAATTTAAAAACTTAGTCATACTCTTCATCATAATATTTACAACAATGTTCTTCAAATGTTCGGTCATAAATAAAATCATCATTGCTTTCAACTTGCTTAAATAAATGTCAGAAATTTAGTGACAAATTTTTGCCACCAAAATTTTTCGAAAAATCTTCGAAATTTTGTTTACCAAGATTCACATTAAGATCACCTTATTTTACTCGTTATAATTATCCAAAAACAATTTATCAAAGGTCTAAAGTCAAGGTCTAAATTAAGGGATTATGAGGGTATGGATATGATATTTAAGGATTAGGATATAGATTAAGTAAGAGACTCGAGGAGATATCGAGGGATTTGTAACGAATCAAAGTGATTAGGATAGTTGTGGCGATATCGATGGATTTAAAGGAATTAAGAAGCTTAAGGGAGCTTTAGAATTATTTAAAAATTTCTAAAAATACTAATTATACTAATTACTAATTATACTAATCTATACTAATTACATAAATGTGTATAAATATTATATTTACATACAAAATAATATTGAACTGCATGGTAAAGTGGAAAAGTTCTTTCAATTTCCCTTGGACTATTGAGTTTATCACAGGTCCATGTGCTTGCATATGAAATACCAGGAAAACGACCAGTTGATTTTGCTAAACTATAAATCACTGCATAGCGCCACATCTATATAAAAAGAATTCAGAAGTTAGTTGAATTCTTCGTTAAAATATTTCATAAAATTTGATGAAAAGATGTATTCAAGTATTATAGAACCCTAGTTTAAATAATCTAAATAATTACTTGATTTGCTAAACCACCACAATCACCATTCCAATGTTGTGGAATTTGCATTAGAAGATATTTTGTTGTATTTTTAAATGGAGGTGGGAATGATCTTAGTAGATACTTGATTTTTTTCTCAAAAATAATTGTTGAATTTTGATTTTCTTTTCCAATGATATCATCAGTCTTTTCACATAAATGGACTAGTTTATGAGACAAATGAAGGGTATAGGGCAGATTTACGAGTAAGGTTTTGTTCGTGTTATGACAAACAAATTTTAATATTAGATGGTCGCATATTTTTCATGGCCATATTATAAATCTATGCTTTGATTGCGCCGAATAAAAACTTAACCACTACAAATATAATCTAGCAATTCAAATTTCTCGGCCCTGGGGTGTGCCGTCCATAACTTGGAGTTTTTTCGGTCCTGGGGTGTATTCTTTGTCTTTACACCCCTAATAATTAAACATCTTGGATTCCTTATATTATCTTTAAAATTGAGGGAATCTGGCTTCTTGGCTTTCTAAAATTCGCATAATTGTCGCCTGTATATCACTCTTAATCCTCAAAAAGTCCTCTTAATCCACTCAAATCCACAGAAATCCCACCAAATTCACGTAAATGAAAACATACATTTAATGGCAGGCAAGAA